ACATATGTTGCGAACCTCGCTTTCCGTGGCTGTGCCGGAAGGTGGTACAGCCAAAATGTATACAGTACGTACTCCACCAGTACCGTATGCACGGCATAGTATTTCCAGCTCACATGTGTGAATGCTCGTTTTATTGGCCGATAAAATCTAAATAAAAATAGAGGACAGCAGAGCTTAGACAATTATTGGTAGTGCCGGCTCACCGTGTTGCTGCTGCAGTCTTCCCGCTCGTCTGGTTCATTAGAATTGCGCCTCTGAGTCGTCAATCTGAAACGCATGGTGCCACGTTACTAATCAACGATTTCATTCCCAAAATACGCGATGCACTGCGTCGGTGCAACAACAAAAAATTGCGAATTGCGGGACTAAAAATCTTCTTGATGCACCGCTGATTACGGGATCCGCGCTATGGTCCGGCCCACCGTAATACCACCACCGAGTCGTTATGTGGCATTGCTCCGACATGTAGTACAGTGTATGCATTCTCTCTAGTTCTTTCGGTAAAGTCACGTAGATAGAAAAAAATAATTAAAGAAAACCTGACGTTTCGGTCGCAACACAAGCGTCTGTCTTCAGGTGAGAAAAATGATCTGCTGTTGTGGCTTTATATAGGCATGGGAGGAGGGGAGAGGATTTTTGTCGAGTCGTGGCTGTAGGAGTTGACGGGGCAGAGGGGGGGAGGGTTTGTGGTGTGCTTGGACGGGTGGGGCTGGAGAAATGAGCAAGTAATTGGACACCACGGCAGAACGAATTCTTCGGCCGTAGCTGATCATTGTTTCAACATAGTGGGTGCTCATGACATTATTTTCTCCGATACCAAAGTACTATGCAAACCTCCCGGTTATTACCAATTATTTGTCCATGAAGCCATCCAGATATACAAACATAGACACAACTTCAACCGAGAGGATGGTTTCAAATTGAGCAACTTTTGGAAAGATGTCATCAACCAAGTCAAACGTTAGCTGGCTGATAATTGTACAGTCGTTTCCGTTTCTACCAGGATGGTGCTTGCTCTCGTGCAGCACGCCATCGCTCCCCCAGAACCCCCTGCAGCATAACAAAAGGCGGCTTAACTTAGCCCTCCCCTCCCCACCCACGTCCCTTCCTGGCTCCTCCCCCCCACCCCTTAATCTGTATTTAAGCTCGGGTGTCCCAGAGCTGTTCACTTGATACAGCGAACTTTGTTGTATATGTTCCACCAGGAGACGGAAGCTTGTGTTGCCTTATTTTACCTACGTGACTTTACCGAAAAAAACAAAGCGTAGGTGGTGCTGGTCGGAGATGCAACGGGCCCTATGGTGTAGTGTTTTGATGAGGGAATTCTTCTGGGCTGGATGGTGGTGGGAGTCAGGCTTTAGATAGGAATCCGTGTGGGTGGCTTTCCTATAGACAGTGTCCCAACGAGCCATCAGGTCTCTTCTCGATCAAAATATCCAGGAATGGTAGCATGCCATCATTTTCCACATCCATGGTGAATTTGATAGATGGGTGTATGGAATTGATGTGGTTGAGAAATTGGTATAGTGCCATCCGGCCATGTGGCCAAATGACGAACGTGTCATCTACATATCTCTTCCACAAGGACGGACGTCGGGTAGATGTCTGGATGGCATCTGTTTCAAATTTCTCCATGAAAATGTTCACTACCACTGGTGATAGGGGAGAGCTCATTGGGGTACCTTCATTCTGTTTGTAGAAAGTACCATTCCAGGTGAAGTAAGTGTTGGTAAGGCAGTGCCTTACCATCGAAGGTACATCAGGATCCAATCCCTGTTGGACTAGGTCTTCAATGATTGCAATAGTATCAGGTACGGGTACCTTGGTGAAGAGGGAAATCCTCCGGGGACAGTGATATGTCCTTGATTAGTGAAACCAAGTGGGCCGAATTAAGTACAGCTGAGGCAGTCTTGCCCGTGAAGGGAAGCAGAGTCTCAGAGAGAAATCATGCCAGTCTGTAAGTGGGTGAGTTAATGGTGCATTCGATTAGGGAAGTCGAATTCGTTTGTTGGTTTTATTAGCAAAGATATTGGTAGGAACTCCTACAGCCACGAATCGACAAAACTCCCCCGCTCCTTCCCCCCCTCCCGTGCCTATATAAAGCCACAACAGCAGATATTTTTCTCACCTGAAGACAGACGCTTGAGTTGCGACCGAAACGTCGTGTTTTATTTTGTTATTTTTTTCTATCTACGTGACTTTACCAAAATAACCAGAGAGTATGGATTCCAGCAGTCACGAAAGCTTCAAATCAAGTGCGTGCATTGTATATTTTTTCGTATTTACAGTCCCAGCTCGCGGCACCGAGGGCAGCCTCATACTGCCTCACAACTACAACAACAGCAGCCACCATTTGCAACAAAGGGGCGGTAATGTCACCACAACGCTTGTGCCAGGCTATGTGCACCTTTAGGCCACGTGAAATGTTGAACGCCCTCTGACAGGAGGTCACGGGGCAGACCCAGATGCCACAGGTCGAATGACTGAGACGACTGGCTGATGCACCACCTGCGCCACCTACTGTGCCAACTTGCTGTGCTTTAGCCACCCGGCACTCCAATCGTTGTTGTCAGCGTTGCTCCTCCGCCCTCCGTTGTTGTTGGAGGGCGACTGCCTCCAACTGCCCAGTAGCCTCCTCCACAGAGGCCGATCTTGACACCGCTGGTACCAGTCATCGGCAAGTCCACTCAGCTCCCCATCCTCCTGTACCACATCACTACATCTCTTCTCTAGCCTGTGCCGTGTCCGACTCACGGCCACGTAGTTTTACCCGGGCCCTCTCACCATCATGAAGGTCCTTAATGATCGTGAACAGGGGGTCAGGGACTCCGAAAGCACGAAGAACAACCCAAAGCCCAGGCTTACTGATGGTATCATAGGCCTTGACCAGGTCAATAAAGCAGAGATGTAGGTCTTGTTGGAATTCCCTACACCTCTGATGTAGCAAACGGACAGAAAATATGGCATCTGTGCAGGACCGCCCTTTCCTGAAACCACATTGGGGCTCCGCAAGCCTCTCCTCAGGATTCCTGGCAAGGCGGTGTTGAATAATCCTTGCCAGGACCTTTCCTGGCACACTGAGGAGTGAGATGCCCCTGTAGTTGTTACAGTCTGTGCGGTCTCCCTTCTTAAAGATGGGGACCACCCGGGCATCCTTCCAGTCCTGCAGAACCCGTCCAGTGGTCCAGATTGCTGTTATGATGTCATGTAGGGCAGTCTGTGCACAAACGCCACCCTCCCTCAGCATTTCGCTTGGGAGATCATCTCTGCCAGGTGCCTTTCCTGGTCTCAGACTCTGGATCGCCTTCAGTACTTCCTCAACAGAATGGCACCTCAGACAGCCACTTACAGGGGTGACTTCCAATATTTGAGGCACTGCAGCCTCAGCAGGGTCATCCCCACTTTGTCCCACGATGTTTTCCATGTTGAGGGATTTCCCCTCCCCCAGGACCTCACAGAAATGCTCAGGAAACCTGCAAACCTGTTTCTGGGGGTCGGAGATTGGATCACCGTTTTTTTCCCCTAATGATGGTAATAGGTGTGGCACTGCAGGTTACTTTTTTAAAGGAATTAAATAGGGATTTTTGATCGCGGGCCATTGAGGTAGCCCGCGACCACCACCCATCCTTGCAGCGCCTCACGGCTTTCCGAACCTCCGAGCGAAGGCTGCGGTAAGCCTCCTCATTTTCCGATGTGGGATGCTGTAGCCGATGAGAGTGGGCCTGTCGCTTTTTCTCAGCCAGCTTGAACACCTCCTCTGCCAGCCAGGGTCTCTGGGGAGGTCTGGACCATGTACCCAAAGCACCAATTACAGCTGCCTGAGTCACAGTCCCCATTCACCCTCGACATCTGGAGGAGTGGGGGATGATGCCAACCCCAGCCGCAAGCAATGATGAAATTCTCGCTTGCAACTTTCATCAGCTAGCTGAGACCAGGCCACCTTAGGTTTGAATGGGGTCCTGGGTGTACACTCACCACCAGAGTGGAAGAATGGCAGGCGCATCTTACAGATGACTAGTTGATGATCAGAGGGTAGATCAGCTCCACGGTAGGTGCTGGTGTCAAGGACATGGGCTCGCATCTGCTGTTCCGTTACTATGTAGTCCAGCAGATGTTCTTGCTTGGACCCGTCATGCATCCGTGACGTTGTGTGGATGCACCGATGCCAGAACAGCATGTTGGTAATTACAAGCCCATGGGCTGCACAAAAATCTAGCAGCCTCCTACCGTTGTTATTCAGCTGATCTGACCCATGCCTTCCAATCATTCCAGACCAGGTGCCAGCATCATGACCAACTCGGGCATTGAAGTCACCCAACGAGATAACTCTATCCCGAGGGGCCACTTTAGCCAGCACCTGTGACAGGAGGTCATAGAAGGCATCTGACTCATCGGCCTTGCCTGCATCCCTCCACGGATGTTCATCTTCGGTGGGGGCATAAGTAACGACAACCACCACTCCTCGCCTCTGGTTGATGGGAAGGCGAGCCCAAAGTAGCCTTGGGCTTACAACTTCCCACACCTCACCGCCACGCTCCCATGCCCCCTTCATTCTTTTGTTCAGAAGAAGAGCCACACCCTGTTGTTTGGCAGTCTCCTGCCCCGAGTAGAGGACTGTCCACCCCTCATGGTGACAGGAGCCAGAGCTGGTCCACTGGATCTCCTGAATGCCACAGAGATCCAGGTGGTACCGGTCCAGCTCCCAACAGATGAGTGGGAGTCTCTCCTCCGCAGTGAGCATTCGGACATTCCACGTGGCCATCCCTAGTGGCTTTTTGTTGTTTCTGGAGGAGCCCCGAGGGTAAAGATTCAATCTCCTGGCTCCGCCAAATAGGGTTTGGCCAGGAGACGTCATAGACGCCTGTCCCCCCGGGGCCTCCAGCACAAGCTTGTTAATTTAATTTTTTGGTCGTAGTTTAGTGGTAGTTAATTTAAGGTGTATGGGTTACCAGCCCCTCGCACCTGTCCAGAGCCCCTATTTAGCCGCTGTGGTGGTCACAGATGCCATGAGGGGTAGAGCCATTTGGAATTGGCCCTCCCCCCCACAGCACTGTGCATGACAGCGTTGCCTGTCCGGCACCACGGAGAGGTAGGGGGTTGTTTTACCAGACATAGACATACACGCTGACACACACACGCACACAACTATTAGACACACACACAACAATTACACACATGCGTTCTCGTCATGTATTGATTGATAGATTGTGTAATCCCGCACAATCTGCAGCATAGCGGCAGCTCTCGAAGGCAGACAAGTGCGACGATGTGGACTGCGGTAGGGTTGTGGATGTTCCCGGGGCTCGTCTCCTGGCTCGTCAGCCCAGGTATCTGCCTCCAGTCTCAGGTGAGGGAGGGGCTACCCACCACCTCCACATCACCTGTGCTCAGCATCTTACTATAGGGCTGGCTGTGCTGGCTGGCTGTGCGAACTGTCCTAACTGTGTTGGCTGTCCTGGCTGGTCTGGATGTGTTGGTTGTGCTGGCTGGGTTGGCTGTACCGACGGTGTTGACTGTACTTTCTGTGTAAGCTCTACTGGCTGTACTGGCTTTATTAGCTGTGTTCGCTACTTTCGGCTGTGTTGGCTGTACTGGCTGTCCTGGCTCTACTGGCTGTCCTGGCTCTACTGGCTGTGTTGGTTGTGCTGGCTGTGTTGGCTGTACGGCCTAGCTGTCCTGGCTCTACTGGCTGTGCTGGCTGTACTGGGTGTGCTGAATGTGTTGGCTGTACTGGATGTACTGGATGTACTGGCTGTACTGGATGTACTGGATGTGCTGGATGTACTGGATGTACTGGATGTGCTGGATGTGCTGGATGTACTGGATGTACTGGATGTGCTGGCTGTACTGGCTGTACTGGATGTGCTGGCTGTACTGGCTATACTGGATGTGCTGGATGTACTGGCTGTACTGGATGTACTGGATGTGCTGGCTGTACTGGATGTGCTGGATGTACTGGCTGTACTGGATGTACTGGCTATACTGGATGTGCTGGATGTACTGGATGTACTGGCTGTACTGGATGTACTGGATGTGCTGGCTGTACTGGATGTGCTGGATGTACTGGCTGTACTGGATGTACTGGATGTGCTGGATGTACTGGATGTGCTGGATGTGCTGGATGTACTGGATGTACTGGATGTGCTGGCTGTACTGGATGTACTGGCTGTACTGGCTGTACTGGATATGCTGGATGTACTGGCTGTACTGGATGTACTGGCTATACTGGATGTGCTGGATGTACTGGCTGTACTGGATGTACTGGATGTGCTGGCTGTACTGTATGTGCTGGATGTACTGGCTGTACTGGATGTACTGGATGTGCTGGATGTACTGGATGTACTGGATGTGCTGGCTGTACTGGCTGCACTGGATGTGCTGGATGTACTGAATGTACTGGGTGTACTGTATGTGCTGGATGTACTGGATGTACAGGATGTGCTGGATGTACTGGATGTACTGGATGTACTGGATGTGCTGGATGTGTTGGATGTACTGGATGTATTGGCTGTACTGGATGTGCTGGCTGTACTGGCTGTACTGGATGTGCTGGCTCTACTGGCTGTACTGGATGTACTGGATGTACTGGCTGTGCTGGATGTACTGGATGTACTGGCTGTACTGGCTGTACTGGATGTACTGGCTGTACTTGATATACTGGATGTACTGGATGTGCTGGATGTACTGGATGTACTGGATGTGCTGGCTGTACTGGCTGTACTGGATGTACTGGATGTGCTGGCTCTACTGGCTGTACTGGATGTACTGGATGTACTGGCTGTACTGGATGTGCTGGATGTGCTGGCTGTACTGGATGTACTGGCTGTACTGGCTTTACTGGATGTACTGGATGTACTGGCTGTACTGGATGTGCTGGATGTACTGGATGTGCTGGCTGTACTGGATGTACTGGCTGTACTGGCTGTACTGGATGTGCTGGATTTGCTGGCTGTACTGGATGTACTGGCTGTACTGGATGTACTGGATGTACTGGCTGTACTGGATGTACTGGCTTTACTGGATGTACTGGATGTACTGGCTGTACTGAATGTACTGGATGTACTGGCTGTACTGGATGTACTAGATGTGCTGGATGTACTGGCTGTACTGGATGTACTAGGTGTACTGGCTGTACTGGCTGTACTGGCTGCACTGGATGTACTGGCTGCACTGGCTGTACTGGCTGCACTGGATGTACTGGATGTACTGGCTGTACTGAATGTACTGGCTGTACTGGATGTGCTGGATGTACTGGATGTACTGGATGTGCTGGATGTGCTGGATGTACTGGATGTACTGGCTGTACTGGATGTACTGGATGTGCTGGATCTACTGGATGTACTGGATGTGCTGGATGTACTGGATGTGCTTGATGTACTGGATGTACTGGATGTACTGGCTTGCGTGACTTCAAGTGATGACGAGGGATGTTCCTAACGTCCTGGCAAACGAGGAGGCGACCGTTCTACTCAATTCGCGAGACTTCCAGGAGGGTTGCAGCGTCACGGTGGATGGGTAGGGGAGAGATTCGTGTGGCAGCAGCGGGCAGTCAGGGTGTTGGTGGTGATGCCTACGCTGCACGTGACCTTTGACCCAGCGCCGTGGAGGCAGCAGCAAGGGTTGGCGGATCACTGCACAGACGTTGTGAAGCTCCATTTCTAGCCATGGGCGTCGGGGAGGAGCCGTACCCTGACTCGCCAGGAGGCGGTGGTACAGAAAAAAGTGTGGACTAATCTCCATCTGCTCCATCTGTGTGGGACACAGTTTCCCCGATTTTTGGTTCTTTCGGTAAAGTCACGTAGATAGAAAACAAAAAAAAGAAAAGAAAAATAATCAAATAAAATTCGAATACAAAATTTAAATATTAAAAATAAATGCAAAAAACCCACAATAAAAATTAAAACTTAAAAATAAATTGAAAATAATAAAAGCAAAAAAACTTACGACGTTTCGGTCGCAACACAAGCAGTCTTCATCAGGCGGAGAGAAAAGAGGGGACAAGCCTCCGAATGCAACTGCTTCTAAGGGTTACAAAGTGAGTGGGCGGGGAAAGAGCCGCGCAGCAAGCAACACGCTAATGCAGGAGCGAAACAAAGGGGGAGTTGGGAGGAGGTGAGCATGGGCGGGGCAGCCAGTCAGCCAGCGCTAATGTAGGAGCAGACAATGGGGGAGGGGGCAGAGACAGGGGGAGAGAGAGGGGAGCAGAGATAGGGGGGAGAGGGGGGGTAGAGATTGGGGGGGGGGGGGGAATTACACCTCGCTACACCCATCCACACTGCTGACGGTAGGGGTTGACAGGAAAACACAAATCAAGTCACGACCCAAAGTGGTTGATGACATCTTTCCAATGATTGCTGAGTTTAAAACCGTCGTCTCGGTTGAATTGTGTCTGTATATATGGATGGCTTCGTGAACGAATCTTTGTTGATAGCCAGTCGGCTTGCAAAGTACCATCGTCTTAGAGAAATCAATTTCATGTGAGCCAGCTGCATTAAAGTAATGATCAGCAGCGGCAGAAGTATTGGTCCTGCCGTATTTCAGATCTGCCATATTTCACGAACACGGTCCGAGACATGTCGTTTAGTTTCCCCAATGTAACTGCTGTTAGTTTGTAGACGCCGGGATATTGCATGTCAGGAATCTCGTCCTTCACAGACGGGATCAGGTCACGAATTTTATGCAGTGTGTTAAATCGGACCTGGATCTTGTGTTTGTTCAAGATTTTGGAAATCTTTTTGGTTATCTCTGCTATGTAAGGTAAGGTGATGGTTTTGATTGGATTTTCAGATGGCTCCTTCCTCGCGGTTGGGGTGATGGCTTTGCGGATTGTGTAGTCAACAGTGTTTCCCCCTCTATACTCTTCGGGATTTCTCCAGGTGCTCCGATTCCCCCCCCCCCCCCACACATAAACTCTCATTAATTGGTCGATAAACATCTTCATATATAAGAGGACCACAGAGCTTGGACAGTTGTTGGTAGCGCCGGCTCCTCTCCACATTGTGGCTTCTGTTGCTCCTGCCTTCCTGCTCCTCGTCCGTGGTCGCTGCTCCACGCGTCCCTGAAGAGTCGCCCCCCCCTCTTTCGGAGAGCAAAGAGCGAACTCTGCACGCGTTACGAGTTCACCATTATTATTTAGGGCTTCATTTCTCTCTCGATGTTAGAGCTGGGATTGCGTGGCGCCCCCTGGCGCAGTTGCACCGCCTGCACGCTCGCGTCGCGGCCATCGCCTTCAGTCGGGTGATTGATGATGATTGGGAGGCGCACTGCTTTGGGGTGCCCGTTGAGTTTGGATTCAGTGGTGTCAGCGCACGTTTAGAATGTGGATCTTCCACAGGGATTGCGACACTGTCCCGCAATCTTGAGTAAATATTTAATGTCCCATCGGTGTGGCACAGCATGCCCATACACAGGCAGCATGCCACACAGCATACCAGGCAGGGTGGCACACAGTATGCTACACACAGTGGGTGTGTGGGTAAGTGGGTCGGTGGTTGAGTGATTGTGTGACTGAGTTTGAGTGAGTAGGTCAGTGAGTTGGTGAGTGAGTGTGAGAATGAGTGGGTGTGTGAGTGGGTCAGTGAGTGGGTATGCGAGTGGGCGTGTGAGTGTAAGTGAGTGGGTGTGTAAGTGTGTGATTGAGTGGGTCAGTGAGTGGGTGTGTCAGTGAGTGTGTCAGTGAGTGAGTGGGTGTGTGAGTGAGTAGGTCAGTGAGTGGGTGTGTGAGTGAGTAGGTCAGTGGGTGTGTCAGTGAGTGAGTGGGTAAGTGAGTGGGTGTGCGAGTGGGCGTGTGAGTGAGTGGGTGTGTGAGTGAGTGGATCAGTGAGTGGGTGTGTGAGTAGGCGTGTGTGTGTGTGTGAGTGAGTGGGTCAGTGATTGCGTGTGTGTGAGTGAATGGGCCAGTGAGTGGGTGTGCGAGTGCGTGTGTGAGCTGAAACAATGATAATCGGGTGCGTCGTTAAACGCTTGTACACCGCGTGATCATCATTAGTTTGGCTGTATCGGGTGCTGGAGGGTCTTAATGACATGGCCAGGTAACCCAAACATCAACTCTGAATCGTGGTCCCATTGGCTGCTGCATGTCGAGTTACCAGACGTTGCCAATCTGTCCGTGCCTTGCAGGTCCAGCGGTCGGTGCTGGTGGCACCTCCTCCCGGTGAGTTAGCGCCCTCCCTGCCAGCTCCATGCCGTGAGAGTCGCGCTCCGCATTGCGACCCGGTGGGGTGCTCGCGGCCAGCAGCGGCCGTAGCCACGACGCAAGCCGCACGATGAACGCACGAGCTGCTTGCCTGCGATTGGTTATCACCGCACGCGAGCGCTCGCGTGCGGAGCGGTAGAGTGGAGCGGTTCGCGCGCTGCCTCTACGAACCCGGTGGTGGATCCGAGTTCTACTCCCGCTCACGGCCATCACCTGTGACGATTTATCTCAACTGGTTCTGGGCCTCCTTTAGGTTGATTCAGCCTCAGATGAGTACCTGGTGGGGTGCGTATAAAACACCGGGAGTTGGGAGACAAAGGCGGCCGGGCTAGGTGCTGGCCACCCACCGCCGGCCTTCGTAGTCGCTACTCGCTCACAGCACTTGCCCCAACAGCCTTGTGTGGGCTACACCGGGGGACCTTTGCATTTGCCTGCACGTGTGTGTGAAGCCGGCGTGGAGCAGTCGACGGATGGCACGGCCGTGTGCCACTTCCCGTTCGTCTACCGGAACGAGTCGCACCCCGAGTGTCTGCAGGACACGCTGGGCCTCCAGTGGTGGGCAGCACAGCAGCACAGCAGCACGTGGCACGGCAGCGCGCACCTCGTAGCACAGCACGCAGCACAACACACAGCGCCCACATACCACGCAGCACAGCGCCCACATACCACGCAGCACAACACACAGCGCCCACATACCACGCAGCACAGCGCCCACATACCACGCAGCACAACACACAGCGCCCACATACCACGCAGCACAACACACAGCGCCCACATACCACACAGTACACCACACAGCGCCCACATACCACGCAGTACAACACAGCGCCCACATACCACACAGTACAACACAGCGCCCACATACCACACAGCACAACACACAGCGCCCACATACCACGCAGTACAACACAGCGCCCACATACCACACAGTACAACACAGCGCCCACATACCATACAGCACAACACACAGCGCCCACATACCACACAGCACAACACACAGCGCCCACATACCACGCAGTACAACACAGCGCCCACATACCACACAGTACAACACAGCGCCCACATACCACACAATACAACACAGCGCCCACATACCACGCAGTACACCACACAGCGCCCACATACCACACAGCACACAGCGCCCACATACCACGCAGCATAGCACACAGCGCCCACATACCACGCAGTACAGCACACAGCACAGCATACCACGCAGTACAGCACACAGCGCCCACATACCACACAGCACACAGCGCCCACATACCACACAGCACACAGCGCCCACATACCACACAGCACAACACACAGCGCCCACATACCACGCAGTACAACACACAGCGTCCACATACCACGCAGTACAACACACAGCGCCCACATACCACACAGTACAACACACAGCGCCCACATACCACGCAGTACAGCACACAGCACAGCATACCACGCAGCACAGCACACAGCGCCCACATACCACGCAGTACAGCACACAGCACAGCATACCACGCAGCACAACACACAGCACACAGGTGCGGCTTCGCGTCTCCCGACCCGCCTGCGGTGTTGGACGCGCTGCACGTGGCTCTCTGAACATCTCCACGTGACGAGCCACTTCATTGAGCTGTCGTTTGTGGCCATATCGCTTCTCGAGAAGAGCTGCATGGCTCAGTGGCCCTTAGCTGGCGATGGTAAAATGAGAATCGTCGATAGTTTTAATTTGTGGCGCTGGCCTCTGCTGCCTCCCCGCTCCCTCTCTCTGCGAGAGCTACAAGTTGACGTTATTCTATGTAGTCATCATATTAACTCTTGCTATTACGTCTGACATTGAATCTTTGCTCTCTTGTTGTGGGGGAGCTCGTCCACACGGCTTCCCCAATGGGAGGCTGCATCGTGGTGGTGGTGGTGCAGCACCGACCACCGGCCTTTAGTGGTGGTGGCCGCTGTAGGGTTGTGGTGGTGGCTGCTGTGGTTGTGGTGGTGGCTGTGGTTGTGGTGGTGGCTGCTGTGGTTGTGGTGGCTGCTGTGATTGTGGTGGTGGCTGTTGTGGTTGTGGTGGTGGCTGTGGTTGTGGTGGTGGCTGTGGTTGTGGTGGCTGCTGTGGTTGTGGTGGTGGCTGCTGTGTGGTTGTGGTGGGGGCTGTGGTTGTGGTGGTGACTGTGGTTGTGGCTGCTGTGATTGTGGTGGCTGCTGTGGTTGTGGTGGTGGCTGCTGTGGTTGTGGTGGTGGCTGCTGTGTGGTTGTGGTGGTGGCTGTGGTGGCTGTTGTGGTTGTGGTGGTGGTTGTGGTGGTGGCTGCTGTGTGGTTGTGGTGGGGGCTGTGGTTGTGGTGGTGACTGTGGTTGTGGCTGCTGTGATTGTGGTAGCTGCTGTGGTTGTGGTGGTGGCTGCTGTGGTTGTGGTGGTGGCTGCTGTGGTTGTGGTGGTGGCTGCTGTGTGGTTGTGGTGGTGGCTGTGGTTGTGGTGGTGGCTGTGGTTGTGGTGGCTGTTGTGGTTGTGGTGGTGGTTGTGGTGGTGGCTGCTGTGTGGTTGTGGTGGTGGCTGTGGTTGTGGTGGTGGCTGCTGTGTGTTGTGGTGGTGGCTGCTGTGGTTGTGGTGGTGGCTGTGGTTGTGGTGGTGGCTGCTGTGTGGTTGTGGTGGCTGTGGTTGTGGTGGTGGCTGTGGTTGTGGCTGCTGTGATTGTGGTGGCTGCTGTGGTTGTGGTGGGGGCTGTGGTGGTGGTGGTGGCTGTGGTTGTGGCTGCTGTGATTGTGGTGGCTGTGGTTGTGGTGGCTGTTGTGGTTGTGGTGGTGGTTGTGGTTGTGGTGGTGGCTGCTGTGTGGTTGTGGTGGTGGCTGCTGTGTGGTTGTGGTGGTGGCTGTGGTTGTGGTGGTGGCTGTGGTTGTGGTGGCTGTTGTGGTTGTGGTGGTGGTTGTGGTGGTGGCTGCTGTGTGGTTGTGGTGGTGGCTGTGGTTGTGGTGGTGGCTGCTGTGTGGTTGTGGTGGTGGCTGCTGTGGTTGTGGTGGTGGCTGTGGTTGTGGTGGTGGCTGCTGTGTGGTTGTGGTGGCTGTGGTTGTGGTGGTGGCTGTGGTTGTGGCTGCTGTGATTGTGGTGGCTGCTGTGGTTGTGGTGGGGGCTGTGGTGGTGGTGGTGGCTGTGGTTGTGGCTGCTGTGATTGTGGTGGCTGTGGTTGTGGTGGCCGTTGTGGTTGTGGTGGTGGTTGTGGTGGTGGCTGCTGTGTGGTTGTGGTGGTGGCTGCTGTGGTTGTGGTGGTGGCTGCTGTGTGGTTGTGGTGGTGGCTGCTGTGGTTGTGGTGGTGGCTGTGGTTGTGGTGGTGGCTGCTGTGTGGTTGTGGTGGCTGTGGTTGTGGTGGTGGCTGTGGTTGTGGCTGCTGTGATTGTGGTGGCTGCTGTGGTTGTGGCTGCTGTGGTTGTGGTGGCTGTGGTTGTGGCTGTGGTTGTGTTGGTGGCTGCTGTGGTTGTGGTGGTGGCTGTGGTTGTGGTGGTAACTGTAGTTGTGGTGGTGGCTTAGGTTGTGGCTGCTGTGATTGTGGTGGCTGCTGTGGTTGTGGTGGTGGCTGCTGTGGTTGTGGTGGCTGCCGTGGTTGTGGTGGCGGCTGTGATTGTGGTGGTGGCTGTGGTTATGGTGGCTGTTGTGGTTGTGGTGGTGGCTGTGGTTGTTGTGGTGGCTGCTGTGTGGTTGTGGTGATGGCTGCTGCTGTGTGGTTGTGGCTGTTGTGGTTGTGGTGGCTGCTATGGTTGTGGTGGCTGCTATGGTTATGGTGGCTGCTGTGGTTGTGGTGGCGGTTGCTGCGTGATTCAGGCGAGGGTTGGTGGATCACGCACAGATTGGTGGAACTCTCAGAAGCGGATCGAGTGACTTCCCAGGGTGGGGGGCCGGCGGTCCCGATATGTCGAGATGTTTAAACACGCGGCGCGTTCTCTCTCGTAAATATTCACCCCTCTCTGGTCTCCTCCCTCTCTCTCTCTCACACGTGTGTAGTTTGTTCACGGGACACGGAGACGGTGGAGTAGAGCCAGCACTGTTTATTCAAGCTTAACAAGGGTTACACTGGAAGGGGTAACGCCCCCTTCACCCGTACACACGCTGGGACACCCCCTAGGCTATCTAGCTTAATTCATGTGCTCCCAGTTCCTCCGCTACAGGCGCTAGAGGAGGCTATCTGAACTGGCCCTGGTCAAGCACGGGTCACGGACACCCCACCAACCAGACCGACCCTTAAAAGGGCTCCGGCTCTGAGGCTCTGGGGCCGCACCACCGGCTTGCCGTGCCGGCCCTCAAAAGGACAGCGGTCAGGGAAGTCCCAGGGTCTATCTCGCCGGCCTTCCTTCTTCACTGGTTCTTCATTCTTGGCCCCCACACACTGCCTCGAGCTCTCTGGCTCCCCGCCCTTTATACCCGTACACCACTGAGGGCGGGGCTATAGCGGACGTGGTTGTAGCCACCATGGTGTGTTACCTTCCCCCAACACCCCTACATGTGCGAGGGAGCCCACATTTGGCCAAACACTCCCTTATCACAGCAGATCCCTCCTGGAAGAAGCAGAAGCCAAACCCCCATCCCGGGGCTCAGTGAGAGAGGCCTCTTCCCGGACTAAGCGGATGTCATCACTGATTGATCGCCTTTCCCGGACTAAGCGGATGTGATCACTGATTGATTACCTTTCCCGGACTAAGCGGATGTGATCACTGATTGATCGCCTTTCCCGGACTAAGCGGATGTGATCACTGATTGATCGCCTTTCCCGGACTAAGCGGATGTGATCACTGATTGATCACCTTTCCCCGACTAAGCGGATGTGATCACTGATTGATCGCCTTTCCCGGACTAAGCGGATGTGATCACTGATTGATCGCCTTTCCGGGACTAAGCGGATGTGATCACTGATTGATCGCCTTTCCCCGACTAAGCGGATGTGATCACTGATTGATCGCCTTTCCCGGACTAAGCGGATCTCATCACTGATTGATCGCGACCGTCTGGGCAACGCGGTGCTATGTCGGGAGCCATCATTTCGATAGCGCGGGGCGGCGCTGTGATGCGACAAGGCGACTAAAGTAAAGCGGACACGGGGGGGGGGGGGGGGGGGTTCGCGTGCCACTTGACCCCGAGGTGACCATCTCGATCACCCAGCGAAGTGTCGCCACTGATTGCGCGTTGTTGGTAAATTCTCTCAACGACTCAGCCCGCGGAATTGATCAATCTTCCCACGGCACCGCCAGATCGGACATCGAAAGAAACAACTTTTTAATGGTCTAATGTTGTTTTGGCGTAGCGAATCAACATAGCAGTCTGTTGTAGCGTTAGAACAGACTCGCATGAAACATCTCACAAACAACCATTCACTTTGGCCTGCGCGAGTTTCACAGCCAGCGTGGAGGCTGTGTCGCCGCGTGTGTGTGCGCGCTGCCCAACGGAGTGACTCTTAGTCATGAATGAGAGCGATGATAAGAATACGAAAGAACCAAAGAGTAATAATTATGCGGTTCGGGGCGGCAACAGATCGCCGTTGGACTGGCGGCAGAGGGGGAACAAGCCAGAGGGGAGCGAAGGCCGTCGCTAAGACGGGGACACCGAAAGACTCCGTGAACGCAGCAAGACGGTCACCGCCGCTGATCACGCGCGACTCCACCCCCCCCGTCCCCCCCCCGTGCCCTCCACCCCCCCCCCCGTGCCCCCCCCGTGCCTTACACCCCCCCCGTGCCCCCCCGTGCCCCCCCCGTGCCTTACACCCCCCCCGTGCCCTCCACCCCCCCCCCCGTGCCCCCCCGTGCCTTACACCCCCCCCGTGCCCCCCCCCCCCGTGCCTTACACCCCCCCCCCCCCCGTGCCCGCCAGGTGCGGCCTCACGGCCAACGTGGACTCGGACAGGAGGTGGCGCTACTGCGCGCGGGCGCCGATCGTCGTGGCTGGAGGTGAGAGAGCGATGGGCGGCCCGCGGTGGCGAGAGGCCTCCTCCTCGTGGGCTCGAGGGGCGCCGGGTCGTCTCGTTCCCCCACCTTCGCCCCCCCCCCACCTTCGTCCCCCCCACCTTCGCCCCCCCACCTTCACCCCCCCCCACCTTCACCCCCCACCTTCACCCCCCCACCTTCACCCCCCCACCTTCGCCCCCCCCCACCTTCACCCCCCCACCTTCGCCCCCCCCACCTTCGCCCCCCCACCTTCACCCCCCCACCTTCACCCCCCCACCTTCACCCCCCCCACCTTCACCCCCCACCTTCACCCCCCCCACCTTCACCCCCCCCACCTTCACCCCCCACCTTCACCCCCCCACCTTCACCCCCCCACCTTCGCCCCCCCACCTTCACCCCCCCACCTTCGCCCCCCCCACCTTCGTCCCCCCCACTTTCACCCCCCCCACCTTCACCCCCCACCTTCACCCCCACCTTCACCCCCCCACCTTCGCCCCCCCACCTTCACCCCCCCACCTTCGCCCCCCCCCACCTTCGTCCCCCCCACCTTCGTCCCCCCACCTTCGCCCCCCCACTTTCACCCCCCCCCCACCTTCACCCCCCACCTTCACCCCCCCCACCTTCACCCCCCCACCTTCGCCCCCCCACCTTCGCCCCCCCACCTTCACCCCCCCCACCTTCACCCCCCCACCTTCGCCCTCCCACCTTCGTCCCCCCCCCACCTTTGCCCCCCCAACCTTCACCCCCCCTACTTTCACCCTCCCCACCTTCACCCCCCCCAACTTCACCCCCCCACCTTCACCCCCCCCACCTTCACCCCCCACCTTCACCCCCCCACCTTCGCCCCACCACCTTCGCCCCCCCACCTTCACCCCCCCACCTTCGCCCCCCCACCTTCGTCCCCCCACCTTCGCCCCCCCACCTTCACCCCCCCCACCTTCGTCCCCCCCAACCTTTGCCCCCCACCTTCACCCCCCCCCCCACCTTCGCCCCCCACGCTTCACCCCCCCCCCCCAACTTCACCGTGCCCCACCGTTCGCCCCCCCACACATTCGTCCCCCCACCTTCACCCCCCCCACCTTCACCCCCCACCTCACCCTCATCAACCCCCCCACCTTCACCCACCCCCACCTTCAACCCGTCCCCACCTTCGCCCTCCCACCTTCGTGCCCCCCACCTTTGCCCCCCCACCTTCACCCCTCCCTACTTTCACCCTCCCCACCTTCACCCCCCCCCGACCTTCACCCCCCCCACCTTCACCCCCACCTTCACCCCCCACCTTCCACACCCCCCACCTTCACCCCGCCACCTTCAACCCCCCCCGCTTCACCCCCCCACCTTCGCCCACCCGCCCACATTCGCCCCACCCCACCTTCAACCCCCCACCTTCACCCCACCCCACCGTTCACACTCATTCACGCCCCCCCCCACCTTCACTCCCCCCACCTTGACCCCCCCACCTTGACCCCCCCCCACCTTGACCCCCCCACCTTGACCCCCCACATTGACCCCCCCACCTTGACCCCCCCCACCTTCACCGCCCCACCTTCACCCCCCCACCTTCACCCCCCCACCTTCACCCCCCCCACCTTCACCCCCCCCCACTTCGCCCCCCCACCTTCACCGCCCCCCCACCTTCTCCCCCCCACCTTCACCCCCCCACCTTCACCCCCCCCACCTTCACCCCCCACCTTCACCCCCCCACCTTCACCCCCCCACCTTCGCCCCCCCACCTTCACCCCCCACCATTCGCCCCCCCCACCTTCGTCCCCCCCACCTTCGCCCCCCCACCTTTCACACCCCCCACCTTCGTCCCCCCCACCTTCACCCCCCCCACCTTCGCCCCCCACCTTTCAACCCCCCCCCCCCACCTTCACCCCCCCCCCACCTTCACCTTCCCCACCTTCGCCCCCCCCACCTTCGTCCCCCCCACCTTCACCCCCCCACTTCACCCCCCCACCTTCACCCCCCCACCTTCACCCCCCCCCACCTTCACCCCCCCACCTTCGCCCTCCCACCTTCGTCCCCCCCACCTTTGCCCCCCCACCTTCACCCCCCCTACTTTCACCCTCCCCACCTTCACCCCCCCACCTTCACCCCCCCCACCTTCACACCCCCACCTTCACCCCCCACCTTCACCCCCCACCTTCACCCCCCCACCTTCGCCCCCCCCCCACCTTCGCCCCCCCACCTTCGCCCCCCCACCTTCACCCCCCCACCTTCACCCCCCCACCTTCACCCCCCCCACCTTCACCCCCCCACCTTGACCCCCCCACCTTGACCCCCCCCACTTGACCCCCCCCACCTTGACCCCCCACCTTGACCCCCCCCCACCTTCACCCCCCACCTTCACCCCCCCACCTTCGCCCCCCCCACCTTCGCCCCCCCACCTTCACCCCCCCCACCTTCACCCCCCCACCTTCGCCCTCCCACCTTCGTCCCCCCCCACCTTTGCCCCCCCACCTTCACCCCCCCTACTTTTCACCCTCCCCACCTTCACCCCCCCCACCTTCACCCCCCCAACCTTCACCCCCCACCTTCACCCCCCACCTTCACCCCCCCACCTTCGCCCCCCCACCTTCGCCCCCCCACCTTCACCCCCCCACCTTCGCCCCCCCCACCTTCGTCCCCCCCACCTTCGCCCCCCCACCTTCACCCCCCCCACCTTCGTCCCCCCCACCTTTGCCCCCCACCTTCACCCCCCCACCTTCGCCCCCCCACCTTCACCCCCCCCCCCCACCTTCACCCCCCCCCCCCACCTTCACCTTCCCCACCTTCGCCCCCCCCCACCTTCGTCCCCCCCACCTTCACCCCCCCCACCTTCACCCCCCCACCTTCACCCCCCCACCTTCACCCCCCCCACCTTCACCCCCCCACCTTCGCCCTCCCACCTTCGTCCCCCCCACCTTTGCCCCCCCACCTTCACCCCCCCTACTTTCACCCTCCCCACCTTCACCCCCCTCCACCTTCACCCCCCCCACCTTCACTCCCCACCTTCACCCCCACCTTCACCCCCCCACCTTCACCCCCCCACCTTCACCCCCCCACCTTCGCCCCCCCACCTTCACCCCCCCACCTTCACCCCCCCACCTTCACCCCCCCCACCTTGACCCCCCCACCTTGACCCCCCCACCTTGACCCCCCCCCCCACCTTGACCCCCCCCACCTTGACCCCCCCACCTTGACCCCCCCACCTTGACCCCCCCCACCTTCACCCCCCCACCTTCACCCCCCCACCTTCACCCCCCCACCTTCACCCCCCCCACCTTCACCCCCCCCACCTTCGCCCCCCCACCTTCACCCACCCACCTTCTCCCCCCACCTTCACCCCCCCACCTTCACCCCCCCCACCTTCACCCCCCACCTTCACCCCCCCACCTTCACCCCCCCACCTTCGCCCCCCCACCTTCACCCCCCCACCTTCGCCCCCCCCACCTTCGTCCCCCCCACCTTCGCCCCCCACCTTCACCCCCCCCACCTTCGTCCCCCCCCACCTTTGCCCCCCCACCTTCACCCCCCCCACCTTCGCCCCCCCACCTTCACCCACCCCCCCACCTTCACCCCCCCCCCCCCACCTTCACCTTCCCCACCTTCGCCCCCCCCACCTTCGTCCCCCCCACCTTCACCCCCCCCACCTTCACCCCCCCACCTTCACCCCCCACCTTCACCCCCCCACCTTCACACCCCCCCACCTTCGCCCTACCACCTTCGTCCCCCCCACCTTTGCCCCCCACCTTCACCCCCCTACTTTCACCCTCCCCACCTTCATCCCCCCCCACCTTCACCCCCCCCACCTTCACCCCCCACATTCACCCCCCACCTTCACCCCCCCCACCTTCACCCCCCCACCTTCACCCCCCCACCTTCGCCCCCCCCACCTTCGCCCCCCCACCTTCACCCCCCCACCTTCACCCCCCCACCTTCACACCCCCCCACCTTCACCCCCCCACCTTGACCCCCCCACCTTGACCCCCCCACCTTGACCCCCCCACCTTGACCCCCCCACCTTGACCCCCCCCACCTTCACCCCCCCCACCTTCACCCCCCCACCTTCACCCCCCCACCTTCACCCCCCCCACCTTCGCCCCCCCCACCCTTCACCCCCCCCCACCTTCTCCCCCCCACCTTCACCCCCCCACCTTCACCCCCCCCCACCTTCACCCCCCCCACCTTCACCTCCCCACCTTCGCCCCCCCCCACCTTCGCCCCCCCACCTTCACCCCCCACCTTCGCCCCCCCCCCCACCTTCACCCCCCCCCCACCTTCACCCCCCCCACCTTCACCCCCTCACCTTCACCCCCCCCACCTTCGTCCCCCCCACCTTCGCCCCCCCCCACCTTCACCCCCCCCACCTTCACCCTCCCCACCTTCGCCCCCCCCCACCTTCACCCACTCTACCTCCGCCCCCCACCTCCGCCCCCCCCACCTTCACCCCCCCCACCTTCACCCCCCCACCTTCACCCCCCCCACCTTCGTCCCCCCCCAACTTCACCCCCCCACCTTCGCACCTCCCCACCTTCACCCACTCCCACCTCCGCCCTCCCACCTCCGCCCCCCCCCACCTTTGCCCCCCCACCTTCGTCCCCCCCACCTCCGCCCCCCCCCCACCTCCTCCCTCCCCCCACCTTCACCCACCTCCGCCCCCCCCACCTTCGTCCCCCCCCCCACCTTCACCCGCCGGGCATTCTTGTAAAGCGACTTCAGGCTGAACGTTGCTTATCCACGTCAACAATTACGATAATTCAATCAATAAAAACACGAAGACGCTCCTGTCTGTCACGTGACTCTGATTTCTAACCGTCATTGTATCCTCTCGTTAAGATGATTACGATGATCAAAACAACAATAAAGACTACGACGATGATGAAGAGGACGATTCGAACGTGCTGAATGTGTTGGATCACTCCAGTAAAGGTAATGACCCATCATAGCAGGCAAAGACAAAGATCCCCAGTATAGCCTGAATAGACCTTTAGGGCAAGTGGTTTTTAGCGAGGACCTATGAAGGCCGGCACGGCACACGAGGGGGTGGGTGGCCAACAACCACGCCCGGCCGCCTTTGTCTACCTAGTGACGATATTTACACATCGTACCAGGTACTCATTTGAGGCTGAGTCGACCTAGGGGAGGCCCGGGACTGGTTCAGATAATCGTCACTGGTGTTGGCCGTGAGTGGGAATCGAAGTCGGGTCGCCAGGTTCATAGCGAAGCGTAGCGTTAACCGCACTCACACTCACCTACTCACTGACCCATTCACTCACACACACGCCCACTCACACACTCACTGACCCATTCACTCACACACACGCCCACTCACACACACACGCCCACTCACACACACTCACACACTCACTGACCCATTCACTCACACACACGCCCACTCACACGCACACGCCCACTCACACACTCACTGACCCATTCACTCACACACACGCCCACTCACACACACTCACACACACTCACACGCCCATTCACACACACTCACACGCCCACTCACACACACACTCACTGACCCACTCACTCACACACCCACTCACACACCCACTCATACACACACGCCCACTCACACACACGCCCACTCACAGACCCATTCACTGACACACTTACACTCACGCCTACTCACACACCCACTCACTGACTCGCTCACTCACACGCACACACACCCACTCACTGACCCACTCACTCGCACCCACTCACACCTACTCACACGCCCACTCACACACACTCACACGAGCACTCACACACACACGCCCACTCACAGACCCTTTCACTGACGCACTCACACGCCCACTCACACACCCACTCAATGACCCATTCACTCACACACACCCACTCACTGACCCACTCACACACACACACTCACTGACCCATTCACTCACACACACCCACTCACTGACCCACTCACTGACACACCCACTCACTGACCCACTCACTGACCCACTCACACACACACTCACTGACCCATTCACTCACACACACACCCACTAACTGACCCACTCACTGACACACACCCACTCACTGACCCACTCACTGACACACACCCACTCACTGACCCACTCACTCACAATCACTCAACGCCTTTGCCTCCCCGGTGGCGATGTTTACACACCTCACCAGGTACTCATTTGAGTCTGAGTCGACCTAGGGGAGGCCGAGGACCGGTTCAGATAATCGTCAATGGTGTTTGCCGTGAGCGGGAATCGAATCCGGGTTACAGGGTTCGTAGCGCAGCACTAACCGTTCCCCATATCATAGCAGGCACACACACACACAGACACACACACGGAGCATGCACACATACACAACTCTGGAGTTCAGATGGTGCAATGAGATGATCGTATGAAGGGAAGACGACTGCTGGGCTCGGTTTCCCAGTGACCTCGGAGGATGATCACAACGAATCACCCCCTAATTTGTGGAGTGAATCTTTTTTTACGAGGTAAGGCCCACTGAGCTGTCTAGCTCTTTTTTCAGAAGCGACCTGGGCACAAATGATAGGTCAACGAAAGTGGCTTATCACGTGGCAATGTTATAGCAGCCAAATGCTCTAAACGCGTTGATGTGATTCTAAATGTGAAGGGGAAAAACCTGAGGACCACGAAAAAAGTCCACGCGTCCACGGGAAGAGACACGCAAATAAATATTCAGCAGTCGTCAGGGTCGGGGTCGAATCCGCCACCTGTATACAAGGCGAGGTGGTCAACATCTCATAGCCACCGTGGCGCCCTGAGCAAAATGGAGCACCCCATCCGTCCCTGTGGTTTGTGATCACGTGCAGACAAGGTGAAGGTCACAGCAGGGTGTAGGTCAGGGTGAAGGTCACAGCAGGGTGTAGGTCAGGGTGAAGGTCACAGCAGGGTGTGTGTCAGGGTGAAGGTCACAGCAGGGTGTGTGTCAGGGTGAAGGTCACAGCAGGGTGTAGGTCAGGGTGAAGGTCACAGCAGGGTGTGTGTCAGGGTGAAGGTCACAGCAGGGTGTAGGTCAGGGTGAAGGTCACAGCAGGGTGTGTGTCAGGGTGAAGGTCACAGCAGGGTGTAGGTCAGGGTGAAGGTCACAGCAGGGTGTAGGTCAGGGTGAAGGTCACAGCAGGGTGTAGGTCAGGGTGAAGGTCACAGCAGGGTGTAGGTCAGGGTGAAGGTCACAGCAGGGTGTGTGTCAGGGTGAAGGTCACAGCAGGGTGTAGGTCAGGGTGAAGGTCACAGCAGGGTGTAGGTCAGGGTGAAGGTCACAGCAGGGTGTGTGTCAGGGTGAAGGTCACAGCAGGGTGTAGGTCAGGGTGAAGGTCACAGCAGGGTGTGTGTCAGGGTGAAGGTCACAGCAGGGTGTAGGTCAGGGTGAAGGTCACAGCAGGGTGTGTGTCAGGGTGAAGGTCACAGCAGGGTGTAGGTCAGGGTGAAGGTCACAGCAGGGTGTCGGTCAGGGTGAAGGTCACAGCAGGGTGTAGGTCAGGGTGAAGGTCACAGCAGGGTGTAGGTCAGGGTGAAGGTCACAGCAGGGTGTGTGTCAGGGTGAAGGTCACAGCAGGGTGTAGGTCAGGGTGAAGGTCACAGCAGGGTGTAGGTCAGGGTGAAGGTCACAGCAGGGTGTGTGTCAGGGTGAAGGTCACAGCAGGGTGTAGGTCAGGGTGAAGGTCACAGCAGGGTGTGTGTCAGGGTGAAGGTCACAGCAGGGTGTAGGTCAGGGTGAAGGTCACAGCAGGGTGTGTGTCAGGGTGAAGGTCACAGCAGGGTGTGTGTCAGGGTGAAGGTCACAGCAGGGTGTAGGTCAGGGTGAAGGTCACAGCAGGGTGTAGGTCAGGGTGAAGGTCACAGCAGGGTGTGTGTCAGGGTGAAGGTCACAGCAGGGTGAAGGTCACAGCAGGGTATGTGTCACAGCCGTTGCACTCAGCAGGGGTCGCATTACAGTAGCCAGGTGCTGAGTCACCTCGTGCTGCACTGGGCCATCTGCCCCTGGGGGTGCCCTCGGCGAGACCACACAGCAGCAATCATCCCCGCTCGCAGGTCAGGCGCCGAGACACCTTGCGGCGCATGGAGACAGCTGCCACTGGGGGTGCCCTTTGAATGTCTCCCTGATGAGTGAGGTGCGACTCTCCTCAGATATCTGCACGTGATGTACGATATCGTGTGCGCATCTCTTTCATGAATGGAAATGTTACAAGAATGTAAAGACACAAATCATAGCAGTGTCATTGTGGACATGCAACCCAAAAAGTAAACCCACATCGATTGATAGAGACACGTAGAGTCATATAGAGACCCATAGAGTCATATAGAGATACGTAGAGACTCAGAGACACGGAGATACATTAAAGCCAGGCCACAATAGTGTAATTGTGGCCATGCAACCCGCACGATGGGCCGTGTAGTCAACCCGCTGTGGTCTGCGCTCCTTCAATGGAGGAGGAAGAGCGACACGACACTTACTCTGCTGAAGCTCTCTCTGTCTCTCTCTCTGTCTCTCTCTGCCTCTCTCTCATCGTGACGAGCAGCAGCATCTGACCTCGGCATTGGCATCGAGATCCTGGACCACAGCGCTGCTGCTGCTGCCGCCATCGCGCACAAGAGCAGATGAGTTCAACACCGTCTGTGTTGAAGAGGGTGTATCTGTGTGCGTGTGTGCGTGTGTGCGCGTGTTAACGCAGACGGCCCCTGCAAGGGGATGACATGTCTGTTTGGAGGGGTCTGCAAAGTGAAAGTGGGACACCCCGGGCGGAAGCTAACGGGCGCGGAACCGGTCTGCACGTGCCGCCCACCCTTCCATGGGAAAAACTGCCACATGGGTGAGCCGATCACAACCACCTCCACCACGTCCACCACCACCACCACCACCACCTTTCCCTCCACAATCACCACCACCACAACCACTACCATCACCTCCACAACAACATCTGACCACCGTGGCGCCCACTAATAAATTAAAAAAAATCTAAATAAAAAGTAGTAACAACACGTCGCCCGCGTAGTTGCATGAACGTCATCTTTGGGAGCCATTCGCTGAACACACGGCTGGGGGGGGGCGCCGCTCGCTCTCCTCGGCACGCGTCCGGCCGGACGTTGTGCCCGTGGCGCGAGCCGGCGAGCCCCCTCCTCCGCTTGCCTTGCAGTGAGGAACCCGTGCCAGCGAGGGACGTGCCGCTTCAGAGGGGCCTGCCTGCTCCGCTTGGACGACCCGGCACGGCCTAAGTGCCGGTGCCAGCTGGGTTTCTGGGGCCCGCACTGCGGGATGAGCGAGTCCGCCACCCCCTCCACCTCCACCCCCTCCACCTCCACCCCCTCCAACTCCACCGTCCCCCCACTTGCGTCGCCCACTTGGGTTGCCCGCGTGGGTCACCCACCTGGGTCGCCCGCGTGGGTCGCCAACGTGAGTGATCCCTTCCCTGGCTCCTCAGTCCAGAGAGACCCGTGCGTGCAGCCCAACCCTTGCCTCAACGGCGGCGCCTGCTTCGTGGTGCGGGACAGGTCGCATCGCCGTGCCGTCACGTGCGCCTGCCCTAGCAAGTTCCACGGTCTCCACTGCAACTTACGTGAGCCACGCCGCGCACAAACGTGTGTGTGTGTGTGCGCGTGTGTGTGCGCGTGTGTGTGCCCGTGTGTGTGCACGTGTGTGTGTGTGTGCGCGTGTGTGTGTGTGTGCACGTGTGTGTGTGCACGTGTGTGTGTGTCTGCCCGTGTGTGTGCACGTGTGTGTGTGTGTGCGCGTGTGTGTGCCCGTGTGGGACAGTACGTGAGTGGGGAGTGGTAGTGCATCGATTCCCGCTCACGACCAACACCAGTGGCGATTATCTGAACAGGTCCTGGTCTTCCATTAGGTCGACTGGGGAGACAAAGGCGGCCGGGCGTGGTGCTGACCACCCTCCCCCTCGTGTGCCATGTCGGCCTTCATAGGTGGTCGCTAACAGCACTTTCCCCCAACAGTCTGTTAAGGCTACACGTGGGATCTTTGTCTTTGATCCACAGTGAAGGGCGACTGTTACCAAGGGAAGGGCTCCGACTATCGTGGCACCATGAGCGTCACGGAGGGCAGGAGGCGTTGCTTGCACTGGAACTCGCCGCTGGTTCTACGGCAGCACCACAGCGCGTTCAGCGCCCAGGCACGGGCCTCTGGGATCGGAGACCACAACTACTGCCGGTGCAATCACGCCACGCAGCCACGCCACACCGCACGGGGAGCGGCCACAACGCACAGTCCTGGCCACACCGGACACACCACACGGCTTGGCCCCGCCACACAACCTGGACACGCCGCACAGCCCGGCCATCCTGCAGAGTTTTGCCGCGCCACGCAACGGGATCACACCGCGTAGAACGGCCACACCGCACAACACCGGCCACCCCGCACAGCCCCGGCCACACCGTACAGCCAACGTCACTTTGCACACCACAATGGGCAGCGCGTGCGCACGATGCGGCCGCGTACGGATCGGCGGCGGCCGACGCGGCGGCCGCACGTCGGAGCGGCTCGCCGTCCCGCGCTCGTTCTCCGCGCCGCCATGCCCGCGGCGCCGCTCGCCGCGGTCGCTCCCACGGGGACCGGAGCGCCGTGCGCCACGGCCAGACGGCGCCGCACGCAATATTGTTGTTTTCACATTCATAAAAAAAGAGCTTCACGGCTCATCGGATTCTTCCGGGATCAGTGTAGATTCTGTGGCGGGGGAACACTTGACGGGCAGCCATAGGAGGGAGGACCGCCCGTCTGGAAGGTTCCTTGGGCCCGGGTGCAGGATATAGCCGGCTGCGATTGGCGGCGGCCACGCTGCAACGTGGCTGCCCGTAACCCGGTGCTGCGGAGGCAGCAGCGAGGGTTGGTGGATCGCACACGGATATTGTTGTCAAACTTCCTTCCCGTGGGCTCCCTCGTGACCCGGAGCCCCCCCACCCCGCTGCCGTGTGTCGGTGCAGGAACCCCGATGGCGGCACCAAGCCCTGGTGCTACTTTATAAACAGAAACAACCGCAAGATCGACTGGGCTCACTGCAAGCTGCAGCAGTGCCAAGGTCTCACACACAGCATCGCGTCGCCCGTTCTCGCGATATGTGCACCTAGCCTGGTACGAGGGCTGTGGTGACGTCACCGCAGGCCTCAAATGAGCACTGGGGAGGCAAAGGCGGCCGGGCGTGGTAGTGGCTGCATCATCCCCTCGTGTGCCGTGCTGGCCTTCATGATAGCTGCTACTCGCTAACAGCACTCGCCCCAACAACCTGTTTAAGACTATACGAGTATCTTTGTCTCGTCGGTTCTTTATCTGGTTTGGACCAGAAGAACCGAACGAAGACTGTTCGTTGTGTAGGCTATGACGTGTGCTGTGCGAGCATTTGCTGATTGGAGAGGATGTGGAGCTGAGTGAACTTGCCGGTGACCGGTACCAGCAGTGTCAAGTACGACCTCCATGTATTGAGGAGGCTCGTGAAGGACGCTGCAGGGCAGTTGGAGGCAGTCGCCCTCCAGCAATAGCGGAGGGCGGAGGAGTCACGCTCACAACAACGAGCGGCACGCCGGACGGCTAAAATGCAGCAAGTTGGCTCAGTAGGGGGCACAGGTGGTGCATCTGCTGGTTACCTCAGTTAGTCAACCCGTGGCACCTGCTGGGTCTGTCCCGTGACCTCCTGTCAGTATAACGAGCCTTCGACACTTTACCGTGATAGCCTCAAAGTGCACTTAGCGCTGCGGTCACCGCCGCTTAGTGGTGAACGGCTGTTGTTGGTGGTAGTGGAGCGGGGCCAGCGCGCTGCACGATGAACCCGGCGGCCTGGGTTCGATTCCCGTTCGGTGACGATAATTGGAACCGATCCTGGGCCTCCACTAGGTCGAACTCGGGCACAAACGGGTAGCTGGTGCGGTGTGTAATCATCGCAACTGGGGAAGACAAAGGCGGCTGGGCGTGGTGCTGGCCACTCACCCCCTCGTGCACCGTACCGGCCTCAATAGGTGCTCGCTAACAGCACTTGCCCCCAAACAGTCTGTGAAGGCTATACGGGGGATCTTTGCCTTTTTGTCTTTGTGAAGGGCAGAAGCAGCAGGGGTCTCGCGGCGACGGCGCAGCCGCCGCATGCGGGCGCACGTGGCTGGGGACGCTGCGCGTGCGCGTGGTGAAGGGCCGTGAAGCCGGCCTGGGCGCCCGGCCCTGGCAGGCCTCGGTGCAGCTGCGTGGTGAGGGGGCGTCGGTGCACCGGTGCGGCGGGGCGCTGGTGCACCCCTGCTGGGTGCTCACCGCCGCCCATTGCTTCTTCCCCAGGTGCGCGCCGCGTCTCGGCCCCAGCTGCTCGTGACAGACGGAGCACGAGAGAGACCAATGGGTGCAGAGCGACCAGCACCTGATCTAAAATAGCTAAAATATTTTAAAAAAAAAGTTTTACCAGGTAAGGCGCACTGAGCTCTTTTAAGCTCTTTTTCAGAAGCCATTACAAGTGATAGGGCAACGAAGTTGCTTCGTCATCAAGAGGACATTTTTAGCAGCAGCCAAATACCCTGAACGTGTGACGTTGATTCTGAATGTGGAGGGGAAAACCGGAGGACCTGGAGAAAAATCAACACGACCACGGGGAGAAAGAGAGACACGCAAACTGCAGATATGCTGTACGCGTGAAGGTCGGGATCGAACCAAAGACCTCCTGCATACCAGGCGAAGAAGTTAACATCTCCTAGCAATCGCAGCGCCCCTCCGCTGTCGAAGCCCTCCCCATACTCGAGAGAAATCGCCGACAGCGGTGCTCAGACAATTCTGAAGGCCACGATCCGCTCGGGCAACTTCAGGGGAATCGCCATCGGCAACCGTCACCGGTAATGGTTGGCAGGGCGGCATTTTCCATTGTAAACTTCTCGTTGAAGCTTCCAATGTGGTCGGAGGCAGAGGGTCACGACACGGTGGCCTGATGGCATCGCCCCTTCCGTGACCTGAAAAGAATGGGTGAAGGGGGTAAGCCTTCTGATTCATTGTTCTTCTGATAAGTAGCGGCTTTTATTGAGTGACTGGCTGACTGGCTGACTGACTGGTGATAAGGGACTGTGTAGAGAAATGACTGTCACTTAGTCACCAGTATTTCGGCTTACCCCACCCCTAATCACCTAGTGACCAACACTAGACCTACCTCACCCCTAATCAACTAGTGACCAGTACTAGACCTACCCCACCTCTAATCGACTAGTGACCAGCACTAGACCTACCCCACCCCTAATCAACTAGTAACCAGCACTAGACCTACCTCACCCCTTAATCAACTAGTGGCCAACACTAGACCTACCCCGCCCCTATTCAACTAGTGACCAGCACTAGACCTACCTCACCCCTTAATCAACTAGTGACCAACACTAGACCTACCCCACCACTAATCAACTAGTGACCAGTACTAGACCTACCCCACCCCTAATCAACTAGTGACCAGTACTAGACCTACCCCACCCCTAATCAACTAGTGACCAACACTAGACCTACCCCACCGCTAATCAACTAGTGACCAGCATTAGACCTACCTCACCCCTAATCAACTAGTGACCAACACTAGACCTACCTCACCCCTTAATCAACTAGTGACCAACACTAGACCTACCCCACCCCTAATCAACTAGTGACCAACACTAGACCTACCCCACCGCTAATCAACTAGTGACCAACACTAGACCTACCCCACCACTAATCAACTAGTGACCAACACTAGACCTACCTCACCCCTTAATCAACTAGTGACCAACACTAGACCTACCCCACCCCTAATCAACTAGTGACCAACACTAGACCTACCTCACCCCTAATCAACTAGTGACCAACACTAGACCTACCCCACCCCTAATCAACTAGTGACCAACACTAGACCTACCTCAGCCCTAATCAACTAGTGACCAACACTAGACCTACCCCACCACTAATCAACTAGTGACCAACACTAGACCTACCTCACCCCTTAATCAACTAGTGACCAACACTAGACCTACCCCACCCCTAATCAACTAGTGACCAACACTAGACCTACCTCAGCCCTAATCAACTAGTGACCAACACTAGACCTACCCCACCACTAATCAACTAGTGACCAGTACTAGACCTACCTCATCCCTAATCAACTAGTGACCAGCACTAGACCTACCTCACCCCTAATCAACTAGTGACCAGCACTAGACCTACCTGACCCCTAATCAACTAGTGACCAACACTAGACCTACCCCACCCCTAATCAACTAGTGACCAACACTAGACCTACCTCAGCCCTAATCAACTAGTGACCAACACTAGACCTACCCCACCACTAATCAACTAGTGACCAGTACTAGACCTACCTCATCCCTAATCAACTAGTGACCAACACTAGACCTACCTGACCCCTAATCAACTAGTGACCAACACTAGACCTACCCCACCCCTAATCAACTAGTGACCAACACTAGACCTACCTCAGCCCTAATCAACTAGTGACCAACACTAGACCTACCCCACCACTAATCAACTAGTGACCAGTACTAGACCTACCTCATCCCTAATCAACTAGTGACCAACACTAGACCTACCTCACCCCTAATCAACTAGTGACCAACACTAGACCTACTCCATCCCTCTGACCGGGTCGAATCAATAAGTAACAGCAGCCCCTCGCGGCTCTCCGCTGCCCCTGGCACTGTGCTGTGTGCAGGAAGCCCGCAGGCAGCTACTTGGTTCGCCTCGGCAAGAGGAAGCTCTACACTCATGAGAGCGGCGAGCAGGACTTCAACGTCTCCAAGGTCATCGTGCATCCCAACTACTCCGAGGGGAGCCACGACGCCGACATAGGTAGGCGCTGTGCTTGGCATGGGTACGACGCTGGCACCGGGAAGATGCTGGTCCAGAGACGACTCTGGCACGGTCCGCACGGCTGTCTGTGTGTGCGTGCGTCTCTGCGCTGTGCGTGGCTGTGGGAGGGCGGTGGCGCAGCGGTCAGCGTAGGCCGTGCTACGTGGGCCGGTGACCCGAGTTCGATTCCCGCTCACGGCCACAGGCATCGGTGATGAATATCTCAACCGGTCCTGGGCCTCCCCCGAGGTCTACTCGTCCTCATATCATTCCCCGGTGCGGGGTGTATACATGAACATTTTGCAGACAAAGGCGGTCGGATGCGGTGCTGGCGACCCACCGCCTCGTGCCAGCCTTAATGGGTGCTCGCTAACAGCACTTGCCCCTACAGTCTGTTAAAGCTACACGGGGGATCATTGTGTGTGCGTGTGTATGCGTGTGTGTGCGTGCGTGTGTGCGTGCGTGTGTGTGTGCGTGCGTGCATGTGCGTGTGTATGCGTGTGTGTGCGTGCGTGTGTGCGTGCGTGCGTAGCGCTACTGCGTCTGCGGGGGGACGCGGGCGAGTGTGCCACCCGCAGCGCCGTGGAGGTGGTGCCGGTCTGCCTGCCCGAGGCCGCCGAGCCGGCGCCGCCCGGGACGCTGTGTCACATCTCCGGCTGGGGCGCCAGGGGATACCACGGGGGTCAGTGCACCACCACAGCCATCCACACAGAGCAGCCGGGACAGGAATGCGGCGTGTGTTTGTGCATAGGGTGTGTGCGCGTAGGGTGTGTGTGCGTGTGCGTGCGTGGGTGCGTGCGTGGGGTACGTGTTTGCGAGGTATGTGTGCGGCGCGTGTGGGGCGCGTGTGGGGTGCGTGTCGCCACAGTGAAACGGCACCTAAACTCGTGAGTCAGACACACACACACACACGGGTGTGTGTGTGTGTGTGTGGTGGATCGCGGCGCTCGGCCCGTGGCGTCACAGTGGTGCATGGCGCGCACCGTGCTCGCGCCGCTGCGTACCGCGTCGCTTGCGTCGCTTTGTATCGCGCCGTGCGCGTCGGTGCCACAGCCACGACGCCGGTGCTGCAGGAGGCCGAGGTGCGAGTCGTCGACATGGACGCCTGCAACAGCAGCCAGGGCTACGATGGGCGGCTCACGGCCGGCATGCTGTGTGCCGGCAACTGGGAGCACGGGGGCCCCGATGCCTGCAAGGTACACACACATCCCAATCACGTGCTGCCTCCACTCCCTCCTCTTCCCCTGCCCCCGCTGCTCCCACCGCTCCGTCTGCCCCCTCCGCCCTCATTGCTCCCCCACCGCCCCCACCGCTCCACCGGCTCCACCCACTCCCATCGCCCCCCCCCACCGCCACGTGCGCTCTACGTATCCACCTCCCCCTTCCTCCCCACCCAGGGAGACTCGGGGGGCCCGCTGACGTGCGCCGTGCAGGCCGCGGGAGGCGAGGAGCTGAGCGTGCTGCACGGCATCGTGTCAAGCGGCCGGGGCTGCGGGGAGAAGTACTGGCCCGGCGTGTACACGCGGGTGTCCGCCTTCGTCACGTGGATCCGCAGCAGCATGGGCGACAACGGCACGGCCGCCACGGGGAGCGCCGCCGGCGGTGCCACCGGTTCGGCGTAACTAACGCCGCGTTCATCTTCGTGACGGCCAGGCACCTTCAACTTCCTGCTGTGTTCACCTGGATGGAGGGTTTGCGTGTGGGGGTGTGTGGTGCGTGTGTGGTGCGTGCGTGTCGCCACAGTGAAACGGCACCAACAGTCATGATTCACCAATACGTCCATGCGGTCCAATAGCACCAATAGAAAACGTACAAAATAATTCTCGGCTACTTTAACTCTCACTAAATCACAGCGTCCCCAGGCGGGAGAGACGCTGGGTCTGCGGGGAGAATTTTTACCGGAGAGGATTTTTAGCAGCGAGTTTTACAGAGTGCCTCTGGTGCTCCCCATCACTACAGCCGTTGAGGATTTGCTACGGGGAGACTTTCACATCAAGAAACCACACGCGATGATTTCCACCAGCGCTTTGCTTTTATTAGAAACCTTCAGCCGGACACAAGACACGCGCGGGGTTCCCGTCGAGTCTCGTCTTCATTTAAAAGCCCTCGGAATACTCTGAAGACGCGCAACGAGAGATATCCGTTTCTCACCCCCCTACACTGCGTACACGAGCGTGAGTGCGACTGACGGAACGGGAGCCCAAACGACCAGTTCAGTGGCAAGCCACCTCATGGCAATGTCGATTTTGTGCACTCTCATCGAGGGAGAACGACACAAGAGGCGCGTGGTTTGCAGCTGCGAGAGGGCAGCTGCAAACCACGCTGCTAAACTGCGCTACAAACAGTGGCCCAAGCTCTGTGATCTTCTGCATAGTAGTGAGTTGTCACCCATTTAGTGAGTGTTTACAAGCGTGGTAGGAAACCGCAGCACCTGGAGAAAACCCACACCTGTGTGAAGGGGAAACGCTCAATCCCGTACAGACTGGACAGGTGGGGTCCACATTTTTTGCTCTACAGCCTTCTCCTGGCAGAGACACGGCAGGGGCTCCTCGTCGACGCCCACGAGATGGGCGTTTCACACCATCTGTGTTTGATCCACCAACCCTCGCTACCGCCTCCACACAGCTGTGTTACAGGCAGCCGCGTGCAACAGCGTAGCCACCGCCACCACTTACTGGCCTAGACAGCTGCTCGCGTTCACTCTTCCTCTCCGCACTCCCGTGGACCAAAGTGCAGAGTTGGTTCACGTGGCGAGCGCCCAACGAGCGCCGGTGCCAAACGCTCGGGGGGGGGTCGGGGGGGCTCGCGGTGGTGGGGGCGGGGAGGAGGTGGGGGGAGATGCTCCGGCGCCGCCGTGCCGTGCGGCCGGCTTGGGGGGGGGGGGGGGGGGAGGGGTGGGGGGCTCGCGGTTGCCTCTGGGACGGAGTGAGCGGAACGAAACCGTTCCTGGCGGGTGGGCGAGGAGGCCGCCGTGCCCACGCGGTGCGCCGGGTGGCGAGGATCGTGCGGGAGGATGGAGGGGGGGGGAGGGAAGGAAGCGGCGACGCCGTTCTTCTCGAGGCGTCCGTCGCGTGTGATGCAGTCACGTCAGGTTTTCTCTCGCTGGTCGCCGTGGTGTTCCACTGCCTCTAGGGGGGTCCGGCCAGTACGTCTAGGGGGTGGCCGGTGCCTCTAGGGGGTGGCCGGTGCCTCTAGGGGGTGGCCGGTGCCTCTAGGGGGTGGCCGGTGCCTCTAGGGGGAGTCCTGCCAGCGTCTCGAGGGGGTGGCCGGTGACGCAGAGTGGAGGTTTCTGCTCCGCCTCTATGAGCTCCTCCAGGCGCACCATCACGCTCTCCATGAGGTCAAAGGTGAAGAGGGCCGACTGCAGAACCTGCACACACACGGAGCACAGGGAGTGCGCAACACCCTGACCCAAAGCCTGACCCAAACCCTACCCATACTCTGACCCAGCCTTGTCCACAGCCTCCTCCACACAGCCTCCTCCACAGAGCCTCCAACAAAGAGCCTCCTCTACACAGCCTCCTCCACACAGCCTCCACCCACACAGCCTCCACCCACACAGCCTCCACCCACACAGCCTCCACCCACACAGCCTCCTCCACACAGCCTCCACCCACAGAGCTTCCACCCACACAGCCTCCACCCACACAGCCTCCACCCACACAGCGTCCTCCACACAGCCTCCACCCACACAGCCTCCACCCACACAGCCTCCTCCACACAACCTCCACCCACATAGCCTCCTCCACACAGCCTCCACCCACAGAGCCTCCACCCACACAGCCTCCTTCACACAGCCTCCACCCACAGAGCCTCCACCCACACAGCCTCCTTCACATAGCCTTGTCTGCTATTTCGTCTGCTCTGCCTGTCCCATCTGTACTCTCTCTCTTTCTCGCACCTTCTGCTCTGCGCCCCGTCCCCACTGCTCTGCCCTGTCCTTGTACTGGGTCCCAGAAGCAGATATAGAAACTTCTCAAGGAGGAAGGTAGATTCTGTGGTACGTATCAATAAAATACGAAGTCTCCGTCGCCTGCCCTCCACTTGGGTTCCCCACTGATGCTACTGCCTCTCTCTCGCTGTTTCGTTCCGTCTCGGTCGTTCTAACCTTTGGGCAAAGGGGATTTTTTTTGTTGTTGCACAAATTATAAAATAAATCTTGATTCGCCAGCGCGAGCATCGGTTCCTTCCTCGTTAAAAACGCTCCGAGGAACGTGGATTTGGGAGTTGATGTTCATGGAGAGCGGCGTGCTCGCTACACGGCCAGTGTCAACTTGGAACAATAATGATGTCAACTGGCAACGCGGCGCTGCACGGTACAGACTCGAAGAAGAGAGAGAGAGAAAACGACTCAGAGGAGCGAGGAGGAACAACAGATGAGTGGGAAGGCGGCCAGCCGGCACCAAGTTTCCCTCCCCCCAAGCTCTGGAGTCCTCGATATGTGAAGGCGCTATCAGCCAGTTAATGAGCGCCTGGAGAAATCCCACGAGTGCGAGGGGGAAACACTCTATCCCATGCACATGCCCGGCATTCGTCTACCAGTAGGGGGCGATGATTGCTGCTGTGTGTTGTAGCCTAGAGCAAAGACAAAGATCCCCTGTATTGCCTTAACAGATTGTTGAGGCAAGTGCTGCTAGCGAGCACCTATGAAGGCCGTCACAGCACACGAGGGGGTACATGGCCCAGCACCACGCCTGGTCGCCTTTGTCTCCCCCATGGTGATGTTCACGCACCGCACCAGGTACTCATTTGAGGCTGAGTCGACCCAGCGATGGCCTAGGACCAGTTCAGATGACCGTGAGCGGGAATCGAAGCGCAGCGTGCTATCCGCTGCGCCACCGCTCCCCCAGTGGCAGCTGTCCCTGTGCGGCGCAAGGTGATCCGGTACCCGTCCCTGCGAGCGGGCGTTAGTCTGCCAGTAGTGAGGGGGGGGAAGGCGAAGATCGCTGTTGCTTCTGCGTGATCCCAGTTGAGTGTCGCGGCCCATCGGGGGTGCAATCGCGCGTGGGTGCGGGGAAACGTTGGTACCTGTGCACGTTGCTTCAGGGGCATGCTGGGAAGGGGGTCGCCGCCCACGCTGACGGAGAGCCCCGCGCCGTCCGTGACCGAGTCTGCGAAGCGCACGAGAAGCGCTCGCATGCACAGCTCCACACGTGCAGCGTTCACCGCTAACTATTGAACTATGTTTATTTTACAAGGTAAACGGCCCACTGAGCTACGTAGCTCTTTTTCAGATGCGATCTGGCCTCAAATTATAGCTCAACGAAATGGCTTATCATGTCGAAATTTATAGCGGCCACATACTCTAAACGTGTGATGTTGATTCTAAATGTGTAGGGAAAAACTGGAGGACCTGTTTGTGAGTGGGTGTGTGTGTGAGTGTGCGAGTGAGTGTGTGTGTGAGTGTATGTGTCAGTGTGTGAATAAGTATGTGAGTGAGTATGTGTGAGTATGAGTGTGTGAGTATGAGTATGTGAGTGAGTGTGTGAGTGAGTGTGAGTGAGGAGTGAGTGCAAGTGAATGTGTGAGTGTCAGAAAGTGAGTGAGTGAGTATGTGAGCGTATGACTGAGCGTGTGAGTGAGTGTGTGAGTGTATGTGAGTGAGTGTGTGAGTGAGTGTGAGTATGTGAGTGAGCGTGTGAGTGTTTGAGTGAGCGTGTGAGTGTGTGAGTGAATGAGTGTGTAAGCGAGCATGTGAATGAGTGTGAGTGTGTGAGCAAGCGTGTGAGTGAGCGTGTGAGTGAGTGAGCGTGTGAGTGAGTGAGCGTGTGAGTGAGTGAGTGTGAATGAGTGAGTGAGTGTGAGTATGTGAGTGTGTCAGTACGTGAGTGAGCGTGTGAGTGAGTGTGTGAGTGAGTGAGTGTGTAAGCGAGCATGTGAGTGAGTGAGCGTGTGAGTGAGTGAGTGAGTGTGAATGAGTGAGTGTGAATGAGTGAGTGAGTGTGTAAGCGAGCATGTGAGTGAGTGAGCGTGTGAGTGAGTGAGTGAGCGTGTGAGTGAGTGAGTGTGTGAGTGAGTGTGAGTATGTGAGTGAGTGTGTGAGTGTATGTGAGTGAGTGTGAGTATGTGAGTGAGCGTGTGAGTGTGTGAGTGAGTGTGTGAGTGTGTGAGTGAGTGAGTGTGTGAGTGAGCGAGTGAGTGAGTGAGTGTGAATGAGTGAGTGAGTGTGAGTATGTGAGTGAGTGAGTGTGAGTATGTGAGTGAGTGTGTGAGTGTATGTGAGTGAGTGTGTGAGTGTGAGTATGTGAGTGAGCGTGTGAGTGTGTGAGTGAGTGTGTGAGTGTGTGAGTGAGTGAGTGTGTGAGCGAGCATGTGAGTGAGTGAGCGTGTGAGTGAGTGTGAGTGTGTGAGCAAGCGTGTGAGTGAGCGTGTGAGTGAGTGAGCGTGTGAGTGAGTGTGTGTGAATGAGTGTGTGAGTGAGTGAGTGTGTGAGTGAGCGTGTGAGTGAGTGAGCGTGTGAGTGTGTGAGTGAGTGTGTGAGTGTGTGAGTGAGTGAGCGTGTGAGTGAGCGTGTGAGTGAGTGAGCGTGTGAGTGAGTGAGTGTGAATGAGTGAGTGAGTGTGAGTATGTGAGTGAGTGTGAGTATGTGAGTGAGTGTGAGTATGTGAGTGTGTGAGTACGTGAGTGTATCCGCACCTCTCTGCGTGTCCCCACTTCGCGAGCGCGTCAGCTCGTTGTCGTAGTGCGCCCGCGACAGCGACAGCCCCGTGCGCAGAGGCCGCAGGAAGCGCTCCTCCAGGCGGCTCAACTCGGTCCACACACACGTCTATGCGGCACACCACCGGCACCACCAGCAGCAGCGTCACAACACCACCGGCAGCAGTGTCACAGCACCACCAGAAGCATCACAACACTTACCCCCAGCAGAGTCACAACACCACCAACACCAGCTTCACCAGCATCACAACAAACCACCACCAATGTCACATATCACAATACACCACCACTATCACCAGCAGCGTCACGACACACCACCAGCAGTGTCGCAACATCACCACCAGCAGCGTCACAACACGCCACAAACGACCACCACCACTGTCAAGGACCATGTGTCATAACAGACCACCACTAGCATCATAACACACCACCAACGACATCAAAAAAGCGCGTAGTCGCTACACCACACCATTGTCACAACACACCACCACCGTCACAGCACGTCACAACACAACACCACCACCAGCGTCACAGCACATCACAGCACTCTACCACCGTCACAACACACCACCACCGTCACAACACGTCACAACACCACCACCAGCGTCACAGCACATCACAACACTCTACCACCATCACAACACACCACCACCGTCACAGCACGTCACAACACAACACCACCACCAGCGATCACAGCACATCACAACACTCTACCACCGTCACAACACACCACCACCGTCACGGCACGTCACGACACACCACCACCAGCGTCACAGCACATCACAACACTCTACCATCCTCACAACACACCACCACCGTCACAGCACGTCACGACACAACACCACCACCAGCGTCACAGCACATCACAACACTCTACCACCGTCACAACACACCACCACCGTCACAGCACGTCACAACACCACCACCAGCGTCACAGCACATCACAACACTCTACCACCGTCACAACACACCACCACCGTCACAGCACGTCACGACACAACACCACCACCAGCGTCACAGCACATCACAACACTCTACCACCGTCACAACACACCACCACCGTCACAGCACGTCATGACACAACAGCACCACCAGCGTCACAGCACATCACAACACACCACCATTGTCACAACACACCACCATTGTCACAACACACCACCACCAGCGTCACTATACGCGGCATCACGACACTTTGCGGGTGTGAGCGAGGCGAGGCTGAGTGGGCGAGTGGCTGTGTCGAGTGACCTGCCGCGTGGTGGGTCCGACGCCGTGTCTGGCTGACCCGAGGGCTCAACACGGGTGCAGGAACCAACGAGCACGGTGCATGGGGCCGGTAGCCGTGGCGACCGGTAAACCGGGAGCCGCCCACTCACCCGGTTCTCCCACGGGGGGTCACGTATCACCAGGTACCTCAGCAGATTGAGCCCGGCCATCACACTGCAGGGACATAGACGACACACAAACCAAGGGGGTGAGGGTGGCCTTTACCACAAGTGTATACATTGGGGGGGGGGGGGGCGCGGCCAGATTGTTTGGGGCCACACTGCTCCTAGCTCACTCGTGCCCGTTGTGAACAAGGCTCATGAACCGTCCGTGCCAATGCTTAGTTCGTGGCCAACGTAGGAATTTTACTTCTTTGACACCGTACGTAGCCAACCGTGCAAATCGGAGGTGTACGATTAGGGAACGAGGCCAACAGCACCGAGCCCTTAACCAGTACCGCCGGAGCCCACGTGCTCCCCCGAGACCCCCCCCCCCCCCCCAACGCGAGCGTTATCTCACCGGTCGGATCCCTGCAGGAGGTCGGTCTCGGCTCCGTGCTCCAGGGAGAGCGCCGAGTGCAGCAGCGGCACGAGCGAAGGGCCCAGGAAGCAGGCCCTGTCCCCGTCGGTGGAGCCCTGCGGCCAGGAGAGTTGGCGACGGGGTTCAGCGTCGCCGCGCGTCTCCACCCCACCCCCCCCGCCCACGGACCGCGAGGCCGCCCCGCCTCTCTCCCGGTATTACCGCGGGCCCTGGCTACCTTAATACTGACGCCCAGGTCCCATGAACAACATGGCCCCTCATCGCCATCTCTTGTGTAGGTGACTCTGGCTGGCAGCAGAAAATATTAAATCCTGGAGCAGTTACACTGACCGTCGATCCAGCACCCACTCATTTCGCTCCCGTCACTCGTCCACCGGTGGACAGTTCCTTACTTGTCCCTCTTCTATTGTTACCACCACGGTTACCTTTGCCGTAAATTTGATTCCTCCACCTACACTGCAGGTCACAACAACACTCACTTACCCACTCACCTCGGACTGTAAAGGTTGTGGGCTTACTCTACAACATACCGGTGTGCTGAACTAATAACTAATTGGCATGTTTTACTTACGTGACAAACCTTACTAATTGGCTGTGTCGGGTGGTGGCGGGTTTAACGATACATTTATATTTACGCGATCTAACCCCAAAAAAACTGTTATTATGGATCATCATCATTGGCTTTGGATGTTGAACTTATTTCACACCGTATGTAGCTAATCGTGCTAATGGGAGGTGCTTTCTCAAGCTCTTACGATCGTAACCTCGCTCAATTCTAGACACGTGTCAATGCACCCTTTATCTGTTCACAGCAGTGGCGGAGCGCCGAGCGGCCGCTCCTCCCGCAGGGCGCTCTCTCGCGCCGTTCGCACCTTAAGCGCGAGGTCGACCTGCGTCTTGACCGCGTGGATGAGGAAGCCGGCGACCCCCGCGTGGGAGCTTGTCCTGAACAGCACCCTGCGGCACAGGCAGGGAGTGCCGGGGAGACGGACATTGAGAGAGATGCGTGGAGGCTGCGAATGAGTGTGCGGAGTTTGTATGTTCTCCCCCTGTTATACAGAGTGTGTGTAAATCGAGTTTGTATGTTCTACCCCTGTTCTACAGAGTATGAGTCGAGTTTGTATGTTCTCCCCCTGTTATACAGAGTGTGTGTAAGTCGAGTTTGCATGTTCTCCCCCTGTTAAACAGAGTGTATAACAGGGGGAGAACATACAAACTCGACTTACACACAGAGTGTGTGTGAGTCGAGTTTGTATGATCTCCCCTGTTCTGCAGAGTGAGTGTGAGTCGAGTTTGTATGTTCTCCTCCTGTTCTACAGAGTGAGTGTGAGTCGAGTTTGTGTGTTCTCCCTCTGTTCTACAGAGTGTGTGTGAGTCGAGTTTGTATGTTCTCCTCCTGTTCTACAGAGTGAGTGTGAGTCGAGTTTGTATGTTCTCCTCCTGTTCTACAGAGTGAGTGTGAGTCGAGTTTGTGTGTTCTCCCTCTGTTCTACAGAGTGTGTGTGAGTCGAGTTTGTATGATCTCCCCTGTTCTACAGAGTGAGTGTGAGTCGAGTTTGTATGATCTCCTCCTGTTCTACAGAGTGAGTAGAGTTTGTATGTTCTCCCTCTGTTCTGCATGGGCTTCCTCTGGGTTCTCCACTTCCCTCCCACACACACACACAATGTAATTAATGTAACTGGTATTGGCTAAATCATCGCAATGCTGAAAAATTAGACTGCATATTACTCAAGCAGCAGCAACATCACCCCTCTACTGTAAAATCTTGGCAGGACCCCCCTGAAAAAAGAGTCTTGAGACTCAGTGAGGCTGTCCTGGGTTACCTGCGTTGCAGAGCGGCACCTCCACGGTGGACACGGGGACACTCACCTGTACAGTGTGTGCATGGCAGCCGGCTCGAAGCGGTCCAGGTACGACTGGAACAGACTCAGGCTGCGCCTGCGCTGAGGGTCCACACACAGCACGCACACGAGAATGATTACTATGGTTGTTATTATGACACTTGTGTACCCGGGGAAGGCTCACCGAGTCTCAAGGCTCTTTTACATGTGGGTCGTGCCAAGATTTTGCAGTAGGGGGCGATGTTGCTACTGTGTAGGGGGCGATGTTGCTACTGTGTAGGGGGCGATGGCGAGAGGTCACAGAATAGATTCCAGACGTTATGGGTTAACTGACGTGACGAATACAACTCACCAGCTGCTCTGCAGGACACAGCGTCATCACCTTGATCAGGTTCTGTATTGATGTAAACACGCACGCACACACACACGTACATCACACACACACGTACATCACACACACACGTACATCACACACACACACGTACATCACACACACGTACAGCAACACAACAACCGCCATTCGCCACTAAGTGGCGGTGACGTCACCACGACGCTTGTGCCAGGCTATGTGCACCTTGAGGCCACGTGAAGTGTCGAACGCCCGCTGGCAGGTCACGGGGCAGACCCAGGTGCCACTGGTCAACTGACTGAGATGACTGGCTGATGCACCACCTGTGCCCCCTACTGTGCCAACTTGCTGTGCTTTAGCCACCCGGTGCTCCGCTCGTTGTTGTGAGCGTCGCTCCTCCGCCCTCCGTTGCTGTTGGAGGGCGACTGCCTCCAACTGCCCAATAGAGTCCTTCACGAGCCTCCTCCACAGAGGCCGATCTTGACACCGCTGGTACCAGTTATCGGCAAGTCCACTCGGCTCGACAGCCTCCTGTACCACATCACTCCATCTCTTCTCTAGCCCGTGCCGCGCCCGTTTAGCCCCCTCGATCCGGCCGAACAAAAGCTGGATCGTAGGCAGGCCAGCCTAAATGTTTCTAACCGGCGAAGATGTTCCATTAGGGGGGTCCACGTTTCGCAAGCGTAGAGAAGGGAGGGAATGACCGTGGCCGAGAAGACCTGAAGCTTAGTGCGGAGCGACTGACCAGGTAGCTTCCACACAGCGTTACGCAACCAATGAAAAGATATTGCTGCTCGACTGATTCGGAGTGAGACCTCTGCTGTTAAACTGGAGCCGGTCATGAACACATACAGCACACACACATGCACACGCAATAAAGCATATACAGTGAGGGAAAAACGTATTTGATCCCCTGCTGATTTTGTACGTTTGCCCACTGACAAATAAATGATCAGTCTATAATTTTAATGGTAGGTTTATTTGAACAGTGAGAGACAGAATAACAACAAAAAAAATCCAGAAAAACGCATGTCAAAAATGTTATAAATTGATTTTCATTTTAATGAGGGAAATAAGTATCTGCAAAACATGACTTAGTACTTGGTGGCAAAACCCTTATTGGCAATCACAGAGGTCAGACGTTTCTGGTAGTTGGCCACCAGGTTTGCACACATCTCAGGAGGGATTTTGTCCCACTCCTCTTTGCAGATCTTCTCCAAGTCATTAAGGTTTCGAGGCTGACGTTTGGCAACTCGAACCTTCAGTTCCCTCCACATATTTTCTATGGGATTAAGGTCTGGAGACTGGCTAGGCCACTCCAGGACCTTAATGTGCTTCTTCTTGAGCCACTCCTTTGTTGCCTTGGCCGTGTTTTTAGTCATTGTCATGCTGGAATACCCATCCACGATCCATTTTCAATGCCCTGGCTGAGGGAAGAAGGTTCTCACCCAAGATTTGACGGTACATGGCTCCGTCCATCGTCCCTTTGATGCAGTGAAGTTGTCCTGTCCCCTTACCAGAAAAAACACCCCAAAGCATAATGTTTCCACCTCCATGTGTGGCGGTGGGGATGGTGTTCTTGGGGTCATAAGCAGCATTCCTCCTCCTCCAAACACGGCGAGTTGAGTTGATGCCAAAGAGCTCCATTTTGGTCTCATCTGACCACAACATTTTCACCCAGTTGTCCTCTGAATCATTCAGTTGTTCATTGGCAAACTTCAGACGGGCATGTATATGTGCTTTCTTGAGCAGGGGAACCTTGCGGGCGCTGCAGGATTTCAGTCCTTCACGGCGTAGTGTGTTACCAATTGTTTTCTTGGTGACTATGGTCCCAGCTGCCTTGAGATCATTGACAAGATCCTCCCGTGTAGTTCTGGGCTGATTCCTCACCGTTCTCATCATCATTGCAACTCCATGAGGTGAGATCTTGCATGGAGCCCCAGGCCGAGGGAGATTGACAGTTCTTTTGTGTTTCTTCCATTTGCGAATAATCGCACCAACTTTTGTCACCTTCTCACCAAGTTGCTTGGCAATGGTCTTGTAGCCCATTCCAGCCTTGTGTAGGTCTACAATATTGTCCCTGACATCCTTGGAGAGCTCTTTGGTCTTGGCCATGGTGGAGAGTTTGGAATCTGATTGATTGATTGCTTCTGTGGACAGGTGTCTTTTATACAGGTAACAAGCTGAGATTCGAAGCACTCCCTTTAAGAGTGTGCTCCTAATCTCAGCTCATTACCTGTATAAAAGACACCTGGGAGCCAGAAATCTTTCTGATTGAGAGGGGGTCAAATACTTATTTCCCTCATTAAAATACAAATCAATTGATAACATTTTTGACATGCGTTTTTGTTATTATTCTGTCTCTCACTGTTCAAATAAACCTACCATTAAAATTATAGACTGATCATTTCTTTGTCAGTGGGCAAATGTACAAAATCAGCAGGGGATCAAATACTTTTTTCCCTCACTGTATATGCTTTATTGCGTGTGCATGTGTGTGTGCTGTATGTGCTCATGACCGGCTCCGGTTTAACAGCAGAGGTCTCACTCCGAATCAGTCGAGCAGCATTATCTTTTCATCAGTTTCCCTCGCTGTACACACACGTGCACCCGTACACACAAACATGCACGCACACACATGCGCAGCACACACACGCGTGAGCACACACACAAACACAGACACGCACACACGTGCGCGCCTGCTGGTAAGTTAGCAGGTCTGCAGTAGCAACATTGGAGCAACATCGGAGACAAGAAGAGACCCAGAAAACCTGGCAGCTATTGTTTTATCCCTCACTCCCAACGCCTGACGGTTCCTGGCATGGCTCAGTGTGCGTGCCGTGGCGCGGCATGGCTTGGTGTGCGTGGCGTGGGTCGGTGTACGTGCCGTGGCTCGGCGTGGTTTGGCATGCGTGCTGTGGCTCAGTATGCGTGGCGTGGGTTGGTGTGCACGGTGTGGTTGGGTGTGCGTGGCGTGGCCCAACGGGGCTCAACGTGCCTGTGGCAGCTGTAAGAAGACCGGCAGCTCCAGTAGCGGCCGTCCCAGCGCCCGCGGCGCCGCTTGTCCCAGCGCCCACTCCAGCAGGGCCTGGACGCAGGGAACACCGTGCGTCACAACCCTGAGTCACAACCGTGAGTCACGAACCACGTGTCACAACCGCGTGGCACAACCCAAGCATCACGAGTCACAACCGTGAGTTACAACCGTGGGTTACAACCGTGAGTTACAACCCACGCGTCACAACCCAAGCGTTACAACCACGAGCCCCAATGACACGTCACAAAAGTGTGTCATAACTGTGAGTTACAAACACGCGTCACAACCTACGTGGCACCGCCTCACGCACGCAGCTCACCATTCCCTTCAGCGTGACGGCCTCTTCATTCCTGCGGAAAGAGTCAACATTATTTGCGTGAGCATTCATTCTCGTTACCTCTGCTTGCTTACCAAGCAAGCCTCACCAAGTCTCTAGACTCAAAGTAGGGGGGTGATGTCGTTTGCATGTGTTATTTCGCCATTGGCGGTGTTTTGGCTGATACCAGTTGCATTGTCTGTTTAGCTACGGGCGGAAACTGAAGAACCCCGAGCTGTGGTGGGAAACCTGCGGCCCGTGGAGGCCCCCGTGGTGGCCTGGTCTCGCTGAGTCTCGGGTGATGCGTGGGGTCACAAGCTTGACATCGTGCACGATGGGGTGAAGGAGGGCCGCTAATGTGGCCCACTGACTCTTCTGGGTTGCCCATCACTGACTCAGCGGAAACCCATGCAGAACTGGGTAAGAACATATAAACTACACTCACTTACACTCACTCACTTACTCTCACTCTCAAGAAGACAAAAAACAAAGATCCCCCGTATAGCCTTAACATACTTTTGGGGCAAGTGCTCCTGAGTGCTCATTTTTTTTACACACCGCACCAGGTACTCATTTAAGGCTGTTAAGACCTAGGGGAGGTCCAGGACCGGTTCAGATAATCGTCACTGGTGTTGGCCATGAGCAGGAATTGAACTCGGGTCGTCGGGTTCGTAGCACTGCACGCTAACCACGACGCTACCGCTCCCAAAAACAACAACCGCCTTTCGCCACTGAGTTGCGGTGACGTCACCACAGCGCTTGTGCCAGGCGATGTGCACTTTAAGGCCACGTGACGTGTAGAATGCCCGCTGCCAGAAAGTCACGGGACAGACTCAGGTGCCATAGATTGACTGACTGATCAATGCACCGCCTGTGCCACCTACCCTGTCAACTGTTGCTCCCCCACAAAAATAAAAGACAAACATCCCCCGTATAGCCTTAACAGATTTTAGGGACAAGTTCTGTTAACGAGCACCAATGAAGGCTGGCACGGCACACGAGGGGATGGGTGGCCAGCACTGTGCCCGGCCGCTAATGACCCCTGAGTGCTCTTGTTTACACATGGCACCAGGTCCTCATTTAAGGCTGAGTCGACCTAGGGGCAGCCCAAGACCAGTTCAGATAATCGTCACTGGTGTCGGCCGTGAGCGGGAATCGAACTCGGGTCGCCGGGTTTGTAGCGCTGCGCGCTAACCACGACACTACTGCTCACCCCACACTCACACACTGCAGAACAAGGAGAGAACATACAAACTCCACGCAGTCGGGATGGGACCCAGGCCCCTTTTCGCTGCGAGGTGCGCGCGCGACCACTGCCCGTCGCCATCACCCTGCCGCCCCACTACACAGTCGAGCGAGATCACACGTGCGTGCGCTTTAAGATGCGGAGTGGATCCTCAGTGAGCGGACCGGCCTTGCCAGCTCATGACGTTCCAGAAGAACAACAACAAGGGAGGAAGGTGCCCAGAGGGAGGGGGAGCACTCACGTCTGCAGCATGGCCGACACGTAGCAGAGGGTCCTCTGCAACAGGAACTCCGAACTGAGACACACCCCCACACACACGGGCAAGCAAGGACAAAGATCCCTCCGGCACAGCCTTTAACAGAATGTCGGGGCGAGCACCTATGAGCGGGAATGAAACTCGAGTTACCAGGTTCGTAGCACAGTGTTATGTTACTGAATCACAAAGATCATTTGCCCGAACAGCCTGAACAGACTGTTGGGGCAAGTGCTGTTAGCGAGCACCTATGGAGGCCGGCACAGCACATGAGGGGGTGGGTGGCCAGCACCACGTGCGATCGCCATTGTCTCCCTAGTGGCGATGTTTACACACCGCACAAAGTACTCATTTGAGGCTGAGTCGACCTAGAGGAGGCCCTTGACCAGTTCAGATAATCGTCACTGGTGTTGGCCGTGAGCAGAAAATCGAACTCGGGTCGCAGGGTTCGTAGCGTAGCATGCTAACCGCTACACTACCACTCCCCCACAACACCAATCACACACATACACACACACACAGATACACACAGACACACACCTGTACACAGCTGGGAACACGTGGAGGCGCTGCACCAGCAGCAGGTGAGCCAGGCAGCAGAGCGCGTCGCTGCTGAACCGCCGGTCCCCCTCCTCCATCTCGCCCCCCACCACGCCCACGCTGTGCCCCCCGCCCCTCCTGGTCCCCTCCCCTGCCATCACCAGCCCCGAGGGAGACACTCCCAGCACCGTCATGTGGCCCTGTAACAGACACAGGCCCTCATCAGCTACCTCCGCTGCTCGATGAAGAATTCCACTACTGCTGGCGCACGTGAGATTTGTCCACGTGTAGTATCACCTCGCCGTCACTACCACCATCGCCACCATCATATTAAACTAATCAAAGGTGACATAGGACACTTGGTATTGGCGCTGTTGTTCTTATCGCGCACGGCTATCGCCGCGAAGGAAGGCGTCGCTGCGTGTCACAGATGGGTATAGTCTGCCAGTAGGGTGGCGATGTTGCTGTGTGTAATCACAATTGATTAATTTGTAGCTTAACTTCAGCATTGGGATGTTTTGGCGAAATACCAGTTACACTGTGTGTGTGTTTAGCTATGGGAGAAAACCCGGAGGAAACAGGGAGGATAACAGACAAACTCCACGGAAAAAACGGTGCCCGAGTCGGGAATCGAACCCAGGACCTTCTGACTGCGAGGCGCGAGGTAACTTTTCAAATTCGGCAAAATTTATACAGTGACGTGGGCACACAATGGTCTACCGAACGACGATCTTTGCTGCCCACCGCACAGCAGACGACTCGCATATGTTGTGCGGTCACAAAGCGTGGCAGTGACCGGCGGGGGGGGGGGGGGGGGAGGCCCGCCGGATTAGAACCGCGAGCGCCTAACTGGGATCCGCACCAGCAGCGCCTGTGCCGTGCCGCACAGGGGGAACTCCTCGGCCTCGTCCTCCTCCTCGGGCAGCGCGTCCATCACGGCCGGCAGCAGCGGGTACTCCAGCACGCACGCGCAGCTTCACACGCGCAGCACAAAGACAGAGACCCCCCCCCCCCCCAAAACGTGGGAGCCTCTCAACAGCTGCTTGGGGATGTCAGCGAGCGCCTACGAAGGCCGGCACGGCACACGAAGAGGGTGGGTGGCCAGCAACCACGCCCAGCCGGCCGCCTTTGTCTCCCCAAGCACTGATGTTTGCACACTGCACCAGGTACTCATTTAAGACTGATTCGATCTTGGGGGGGGCACAGACCAGGTTAGATATTCATCACCGGGGTTTGCTATGGGCGAGGATCGAACTTGAGTGGCTAGGGTTCACAGCGCAGTGTGCTGACCACTGTGCCACCACTCCTCACACACAAAGACAAAGATCCCCAGTATAGCCAAAAAGACTGTTGGGGCAAGTGTTGTTAGCGACCACCTATTTAGGCTGGCATGGCACAAGAGGGGGTGGGTGGCCAACACCACGCCCGGCCGCCTTTGTCTCCTCAGTGGCCAGGTACTCATTTGAGACTAAGTCGACCTAGGGGAGGCCCAGGACCGCTTCAAATAATCGTCACTGGTGTTGGCCGTGAGCGGGAATCGAACCCGGGTCGCCAGGTTCGTAGCGCAGCGCACTCACCATGACACTACCGCTCCCCACTCCTCCATTGTATACACACACCCTCATAGGCACAGGCACATTAGAGGAGTAACACTTGTAAGTGCTCTTAGGATCAAGACAGTCACGAGGGTTTAGTGGTGCCAGCACCTAGCCCTGCAATAATAATCATTCAGAATTGAGTACACGTGGCATTGGCGCTGTTGTTTTTATAACACAGGGCAATCATCACAATGGAAGGTGCCGCTGCAGTGTTTCACACACAGACTGCTGCAGTCAGGGGCAATGTTTCTGCTGTGTTGTTAATCCCAATCGAGTAATCTGCAAGTAAATCTTTCAGCGTTGCAACGTTTTGGACAATTCCACTTACATTGTCATATTAGCTATGGGAGAAACCAAAAGAACCCAGAGGAAACCCATGCAGAACAGGGATAGAGAACATACAAAGGCTCCCGGGTCGGGAATCGAACCCAGGTGCCTTCCTGCCGTGAGGCGCGAGCTTCGCCACCGTGCTACCGCCCGGATGGAACGTCGCTCCCACTCCGCACGTCGTCCCGCTCACTCACTAACGCAGCAGCTCCTGCCTCAGCTCCTCGCGCTCGGCGCCGCCGGCGGCGCCGGGAGGCGCGTCGCGGCCCGCGGGGGAGCCGCCGGCCCGCATGACGTAAGGCCGCACGGCATCGGCGAGGGCCGCGTGGGCCCGCAGCAGGGAGTGCGCGTCGGCCCGCCGCTGCTGGGCCGTGTGAGGCAGCGGCAGGGCCTTGGTGGCGCTCACGGCCCCCGAGAGAAACAAGCCCAGCGAGTAGGCCCGGCCCGTCCGCAGCCGCGACACCACTGCCCGCGCGGAGGAGAGAGTCGCGCGTTATCAGCGGCGCCGGCAGAGTGAGTTTGCAGGCACCGGATTGTCCCTGCAGGTTCTCTTGCGTTTTATTCTTGACAGCGGCCATTCGCATCTCGCCTCTGTGCGGGATGCAGTCGTGCACAGGAAATCTAATCTGGCTCCCCCTTCTCACGGTGCAGTGGAGAAACCGGGCGGTGGGGATTAAGCACGTGCCCTGTAATCCAGCAGTGTGGAAGGCGGCGAGGGTCGGTGGATCGTCGCGCAAATGTCGTGAAACTCCCTTTCCGTGTGCATCGAGGAGCCAGGAGAAGGCGTGGCAGAAACAAATGTGGTCTCCATCTGTTGCCTGTATGGGATAGAGTGTTTCCTCCTCACATGCATGGGTTTTCTCCAGGTGCTCCGGTTTCCTCCCACATGTAAACACTCATGAATTATCCGATGTGACCTGAATAGATAGAGGACCACAGAACTTGGGCAATTATTGGTGTGGGCTCATCACGTGGCAGCTGTCTTGCCGCTTGTTCTATGGTTCCTCATCGCTCTCTCTACGAGAGTGACCGAGTACTCTGCGGTGACGCCGGATTAAAGGTTTACATTATTATTATATTTCTTTGTTTCAAGTCACCCATGAGCCCCAGACGCCCAAATATACAAATTATGCTCAAGTTATCTTTATTAGACCCGACATTGGCTAACTCCCTAGATGAAATCTCTGCTGTAGGAATCCTTGGTTGCCGAGTTCGTAGCACAGCGGGCTTCCCGCTACACTACTGCTCACCCCACACACTCACACGCTCACCGCTCCGCACGTTACATATAAATATATAGACAATACGCACGCACGCACCTGTGTTCACATGTGGCAGCAGCAGCAGGGTGGTACGGGCGCTGGACTCCACCGGCGAGGCCTCCAGGGCCTCCAGCAAACCCAGCATCAGCTCCCTCGGGCTGCACTCCTGAGCACCGACACAGGCCCCAAACACACGCGCCCATGCATCTGTACGTAGACCTGCAGTGGTGTGTAAAGCCGTGCTTGTAAACCCCGTGTTTGTCCGTAGCCCTGTAGTGAAAATCTTACCTATAAACGTAATTTTTTGTCTGTCTGTCCGTCCGTCTGTCTGTGGGCGCGCATTTGTGAAGGATTTGGCTCGCAAACCGTGGGGTTTACATGAAAAAAAAGTAGCCAGGTACCACGCCGTAGGCCTCGTTGGTGAGCCTGCGCTATGCCGTTTTCCCATCCGTCAACGTTAAAGTAGTAAAATTAACAAAAAAGCTTTTACTTATTTATTAACTTACGCCGCTCAGCTCGCGACACAGCTGACCGGGAGTTGCCCCTGGCTATGCACACGCGCCATCGGTGGAGGGGGGGGGGAATTTCTCATTCACGTTCAAAATGCTAAAAAAATACACAGAACACTGAGGAAAATTCTTCAAAGTGTCATGTCCTCTTCTCCCCCCCCCACCCCAATGTGTCTTTGGTTCTTTCGGTAAAGTCACGTAGGTATAGAAAAAAAAATCACGACGTTTTGGGCGCAACACAAGCGTCCATCATCAGGTGGGAAAGCATGGTCTGCTGCTGAGGCAGACTTAAGTTACAGGCTGCCTCAGCAGCAGACCATGCTTTCCCAGACATAGCAACAGTTTATCGGGATATCACGGACTTTTTTGTTACAGCATTTGTGGCACTAGTTTCACCCCTTCAGTTGAAACTACTCTGTGGGGCATGAAACCAGATTCTCTATCGAAACATCAACACGCTCGAGTTCAAACCTTTAACATTTAACCCAAGAAGGTCAAATTGCCCAATTGTAAAGATCATGAACCCTCTTTGTGGAAACAGTGGCGCAACACCCTTCTGGCCCAAACAGGCATTGAGCACTTAAGCCACAAGCTTAAAGGGAGGGGAACGGGAGTTCGAGACCAGACAGTTCCCCCACCCCCCTTACGGAGCTTAAAATGAAGTGCATGGGTGAAGAGGTCGGGTGGCGGAGGTGGCTGTAAGGGGAGGGGGGGGGGCACCGCTTGGCCAGAAATGGGCAGGGGGGAGCATTTCTCGGAGGGAGGTTGGTACTTAAGTTCATATCCAGCGTGTTGATTATTTTATTTGCAGGGCTTTTCTCACCTTTACAGGCTGCTCCCTCCCTCTGCCCATTTTTCTCCTCCGCAGTATGTCAGTTACCGCCATCCTTACCCCTTTCGCCTCCCCCATGTAAATCTTCATATCACCGCACGTGGTTCCCACTTGGGTAGGGCAGTGAGCCCAATTTCCACCCCTTCACAGGGCCCTGCCGCGCTGATAGCGGTTTGCTGCTCGCCGAGTTTCTGTTCGTCCCCCCCCCCCTCCGTTGTGCGATCGGCGTATCGTACCGGGCTCGCGTTGAGTTGCAATGAAAAAAAATCTCCGTAACCCCCGAGCGACCCCGTGGCGGGCGAGTCAGCCTGTAGCCGCGGGATCCGGCCCTTGCGCGGCGGGGACTCACCTGAACCACGGCGCGCAGGCAAGCCTCGCACGCCTCGTGCCCGTCGGACGTGGCCGCTTCACGCGACAGTTGCTCCACGAGGGGCGAGACGAGGCTCCACGCGGCGCTCCTCACCACACCCTGCGGCGCCCGTGGGGGCAGAGGCCGGCGTCGCGTGCGGGACGCGGGGAGGGGCGGCGGGCGGTTACGTGAGTTCGCACGGAGACAAAGATCCACCGGTGGAGCCTTAAACAGACCGTTTGGTGGCGAGGAGCACTTAAGCAGGCCGGTACCGCGCACGAGGATCTAGGTGGGCAACGCCACGCCCAACCGCCAGTGGTCACGTTCATAAAACACGGCCAGATACTTATTTAAGGCTGAGTCGACCTAGGCGAGGTCCAGGACCAAGTCAGACATTCGTCACCAATGTTGGTTGGTCGTGAGCGGGAATCGAACACGGGTCGCCGGGTTCGTACAAGGGAACAGTGACCAATGGATTCCTCGCAACGTGGACCAGCCTAGCGCAAGAGCCACTTGCTGCCGGGGTTCTGGTACAAATCTGAATGGCTGCGGTGGCTAGGAGATGTTAACTACCTCGCCTGATGTACAGGAGGTCGTGGGTTCGATCCCGACCCTGACGCCTGCTGCTGTATATTTGGAGTTTGCGTGTCTCTCTCTCTCCCTGTGGTCGGGTGAATTTTTCTCCGGGTCCTCTGATTTTTCCCTCCACATTTAGAATCAAAGTAAACCGTTTAGAGTATTTGGTTGCTTACAATTCCACATGATAAGCCTCTTTGTTGAGCTGAGCTCACATTTGTGACCAGGTCACTTCTTATAAGGAGCTATATAGCTCAGAGAGCCTAAGCTGATGAAATAAAATTTGTTTTAAAGTAGTTTTAATAATGCAGGGTGCGTTAACCGTAAAAATGCTACGCGCCGTCTGCATCAGTGGACGTTAAAGATTCTGTGATGTCATTCGAAGCGAGCCATTGCCTGCCGCCATCACAATCCAAATGTAACAACTTTGAAAAAGAACGCTGCAGATGACTCAATTGGGGTTACACACAGCATAGCAATCGTAGCCTCCTGCTGGACAGGCTCATGCCTGCTCAAGCGCCAGGTGCTGTGTCACCACGAGCCACACAGCCACAGCTGCCAATAGGGGTGCCCCTTTAAAGCACGTTGAGATGAGATGCGATGGTGTAAGTCGCTCATAGCGTGTACAGCTTTCTCTGAGACGCTACCGAGGTAGATGAGGGCAATTATTTTCGAAGACAACTCATTCTCATGATTAGGATCATCATTGCATTGTGCCATGGTCTTTCAAAGCTTGGTTGGCTTTCCAATAGCCTTGCAGCCATATGAATACAACTGTTGAACTGGTGCAGCTTCTGCACTGCAGGCATTAGAAGGATTAGGGTTGGGGGTTTGCGGCCACGCCTAATCCAACTGGAGAAGCTTAACCACGGAGTAACCAAACCAAGATGGCAAAACAAACCCTCGGCATTTCCCGTGCACTGCACTGCCCACTGAGTAGGGAATCGCACTCGATCAACATTCGCACGTTCACGAACCAAACAGACGTGTTTTTCACGTGCGACAGGGTACGGTGGTGCAGTGAAGATGGGTCCTGCCAAGTTTTCACAGTAGTAGGGGGCGATGTTGCTGCTGCTGCTGTGTAATCCCAATTGAGCAATTTGCAGTGAAAATTTCAAATTTTCTTGCTGTGGTTTTCACACCTGATGATGATTGCTTGTGTTGCAGTCGAAACGTCATGAGAATTTAATTGTTTAATATTTTTATTATTTTATTGTTTCCCTTCTACGTGACTTTACCGAAAGAACCGAGAATATGAATCCCTGCAGTCACGAAAGCTTTAAATACAAGTGTTTATCTTCATGCTTTTTAATTTACAAAAAAAACATCTTGATCGTTTTTGGTTCATAAATTAGAAGCATTGATTAAAATGACAGTTTTAATTCATAGTGCTCACAGCAAGTGACAGAGCTGTAAAGCCACTTATTGATGTGCCAGGGAAATCCATCCATCCATGCATCTGTCCGTTTATCTCTGGGTCTGTTTGTTGTCCCCTGTACCTCTGACTAGCGCAGTTGGCCACCTACAGTGCAAAAGAAGGTCAACATACATGTCCGTATGTCTCAGACAGGCGGTGGTGGCTATGCTACACGTGGCTGCTGTAATCCAGCAGTAGACACAGCGAGGGTCGGTGGATCACCACATAGAATGATGTGAAATTCCCTTCCCATGTTCGTCCAAGAGGTGCCATATCCTTACTTTTCAGAAGGCAGTACTAAACTGCTAGTGGACTAAATTTCGATTTAAAGCTTTCGTGACTGCAAGGATTCATCTTCTTTGGTTCTTTCGGTAAAGTCACGTAGAATGAGAATAAAATAATAAATTTATAAAATAAAATAACACAATAATATTCCTTTGTCAAGGCGCTTTGTTTCTTCTCACACAGCTTAAAGGTCGTTATCTCAGCGTGGCTTTCTCACTCCAGCGCTGTCCTCCAGACAGTGTCGTCCCCTTCACCTGATGAAGGCCGCTTGTGTTGTGGCCGAAACGTCGTGAGAATATTATTGTGTTATTTTATTTGATCAATTTATTATTTTATTCTCATTCTACGTGACTTTACCGAAAGAACCAAAGAAGATGCTAGTGGAATAATCTGCATCTATTTCCATCTGCACGGGGATAGAGCGTTGACCCCTTGCACAAGGAGTGGGGTTTTCTCAGGGTGCTCTGGTTTCCTCCCACGTGAATAATAAACACAATTCATCATTGATTGTCTGTAAAAACATCTTTAAATAAAACCCAATGCAGCAGCAGCAGCAGGATCCTCCTGAAAAATCTGTCCAGTTCCCATCCAGCTTTAGTGTGCACTGATGTCTACTTTATTGAGGGCGATATTGGCACATAAAATGAATATTGATGGACTGATTGATAATCAACATAACATGGGGAGAACATACAAACTCCACTCACTCACTTCAGAACAGGGGGAGAACATACAAACTCCACTCACTCACTTCAGAACAGGAGGAGAACATACAAACTCCACTCACTTCAGAACAGGGGGAGAACATACAAACTCCACTCACTCACTACAGAACAGGGGGAGAACATACAAACTCCACTCACTCACTTCAGAACAGGAGGAGAACATACAAACTCCACTCACTTCAGAACAGGGGGAGAACATACAAACTCCACTCACTCACTACAGAACAGGGGGAGAACATACAAACTCCACTCATTCACTTCAGAACAGGGGGAGAACATACAAACTCCACTCACTCACTACAGAACAGGGGGAGAACATACAAACTCCACTCACTGACTACAGAACAAGGCGAGATCATACAAACTCCACTCACTCACTACAGAACAGGGGGAGAACATACAAACTCCACTCACTCACTTCAGAACAGGAGGAGAACATACAAACTCCACTCACTCACTACAGAACAGGGGGAGAACATACAAACTCCACTCAGTCACTTCAGAACAGGGGGAGAACATACAAACTCCACTCACTCACTACAGAACAGGGGGAGAACATACAAACTCCACTCACTCACTTCAGAACAGGGGGAGAACATACAAACTCCACTCACTCACTACAGAACAGGGGGAGAACATACAAACTCCACTCACTCACTACAGAACAGGGGGAGAACATACAAACTCCACTCACTCACTACAGAACAGGGTGAGAACACACAAACTCCACTCACTTACTACAGAACAGGGGGAGAACATACAAACTCCACTCACTCACTACAGAACAGGGCGAGAACATACAAACTCCACTCACTCACTACAGAACAGGGGGAGATCATACAAACTCCACTCACTCACTACAGAACAGGGCGAGAACATACAAACTCCATACAGAAAGGGACCCGAGTGTGAGGCGCGAACATTTCAACGTCACCACCCAGCAGCCCCATGATGTATCATGGTGTGGTATGATGTGCATGGTGTGCTGTGCCATGACATGCGCTGCTGTCATGCGGTGTGACGCGACCCACCGTATAGCGCGGATCCCGCAAGGCATCCAAAACCAGCGCCACTTTCCCCTCCGTCAGGCAGTGCCCGGCGGCACCCACGAAGCCCTCACTGGCAGCAGGCGTCACCTCATCCTCCGGGATGCCATCCTGCAGTACAACCCGGCACACGGTCACTCACTCACAGGGTCACTCACTCACAGGGTCACACACTCACAGGGCCACTCACTCACACGGTCAATCAATCACAGGGTAACTCACTCACAGGGTAACTCACTCACAGGGCCACTCACTCACAGGGTAACCCACTCACACGGTCAATCACTCACACGGTCACTCACTCACAGGGTGACTCACTCACAGGGTCACTCACTCACACGGTCAATTACTCACAGGGTAACTCACTCACAGGGCCACTCACTCACAGGGTCACTCACTCACACGGTCACTCACTCACAGGGTCACACACTCACAGTCACTCACTCACAGTCACTCACTCACACGGCCACTCACTCACACGGTCACTCACTCACACGGTCACTCACTCACACGATAACTCACTCACATGGTCACTCACTCACACGGTCACTCACTCACACGGTCACTCACTCACAGGGTCACTCACTCAAACGATAACTCATTCACAGGGCCACTCACTCACACGGTCAATCAATCACAGGGTAACTCACTCACAGGGTAACTCACTCACAGGGCCACTCACTCACACGGTCACTCACTCACACGGTCAATCACTCACACGGTCACCTACTCACAGGGTCACTCACTCACACGGTCACTCACTCACATGGTCACTCACTCACAGGGTCACTCACTCACAGGGTTACACACTCACAGGGCCACTCACTCACACGGTCAATCAATCACAGGGTAACTCACTCACAGGGTAACTCACTCATAGGGTCACTCACTCACACGGTCACTCACTCACAGGGTCACCCACTCACACGGTCACTCACTCACACGGTCACTCACTCACACGGTCACTCACTCACATGGTCACTCACTCACACGATAACTCACTCACACGGTCACTCACTCACACGGTCACTCACTCACAGTCACTCACTCACACAGTCACTCACTCACACGGTCACTCACTCACTCACACGGCCACTCACTCACACGGTAACACACTCACAGGGCCACTCACTCACAGGGTCACTCACTCACAGGGTCACCCACTCACACGGTCACTCACTCACAGGGTCACTCACTCACAGAGTCACCCACTCACAGGGTCACTCACTCACACTGTCAATCACTCACGCGGTCAATCACTCACAGGGTAACTCACTCACAGGGTAACTCACTCACAGGGTAACTCGCTCACAGGGTAACTCACTCACACGGTCACTCACTCACAGGGTAACCCACTCACACGGTCAATCACTCACACGGTCACTCACTCACAGGGTGACTCACTCACAGGGTCACTCACTCACACGGTCAATCACTCACAGGGCCACTCACATGGTCAATCAATCACAGGGTAACTCAATCACAGGGTAACTCACTCACACGGTCACTCACTCACAGGGTAACCCACTCACACGGTCAATCACTCACACGGTCACCTACTCACAGGGTCACTCACTCACACGGTCACTCACTCACATGGTCACTCACTCACAGGGTCACTCACTCACAGGGTTACACACTCACAGGGCCACTCACTCACACGGTCAATCAATCACAGGGTAACTCACTCACAGGGTAACTCACTCATAGGGTCACTCACTCACACGGTCACTCACTCACAGGGTCACCCACTCACAGGGTCACTCACTCACACGGTCACTCACTCACACGGTCACTCACTCACAGGGTCACCCACTCACAGGGTAACTCACTCACACGGTCACTCACTCACACGGTCAATCACTCACAGGGTCACCCACTCACAGGGTCACTCACTCACACGGTCACTCACTCACTCACAGGGTCACTCACTCACAGGGTCACACACTCACAGGGCCACTCACTCACAGGGTCACCCACTCACAGGGTCACCCACTCACACGGTCACTCACTCACAGGGTCACTCACTCACAGAGTCACCCACTCACAGGGTCACTCACTCACACTGTCAATCACTCACGCGGTCAATCACTCACAGGGTAACTCACTCACAGGGTAACTCACTCACAGGGTAACTCGCTCACAGGGTAACTCACTCACACGGTCACTCACTCACAGGGTAACCCACTCACACGGTCAATCACTCACACGGTCACTCACTCACAGGGTGACTCACTCACAGGGTCACTCACTCACACGGTCAATCACTCACAGGGCCACTCACATGGTCAATCAATCACAGGGTAACTCAATCACAGGGTAACTCACTCACACGGTCACTCACTCACAGGGTAACCCACTCACACGGTCAATCACTCACACGGTCACTCACTCACAGGGTAACTCACTCACAGGGTCACTCACTCACACGGTCAATCACTCACAGGGCCACTCACACGGTCAATCAATCACAGGGTAACTCAATCACAGGGTAACTCACTCACAGGGTCACTCACTCACACGGTCACTCACTCACACGGTCAATCACAGGGTCACCCACTCACATGGTCAATCACTTAAACGGTCACTCACAAGGTCACCCACTCACAGGTTCACTCAAGGTCACTCACTCACACTGTCAATCACTCACGCGGTCAATCACTCACAGGGTAACTCACTCACAGGGTAACTCACTCACAGGGTAACTCACTCACAGGGTAACTCACTCACAGGGTAATCCACTCACAGGGTCACCCACTCACACGGTCACCCACTCACAGGGTCACTCACTCACACTGTCAATCACTCACAGGGCCACTCACACGGTCAATCAATCACAGGGTAACTCAATCACAGGGTCACTCACTCACACGGTCAATCACAGGGTCACCCACTCACATGGTCAATCACTTAAACGGTCACTCACAAGGTCACCCACTCACAGGTTAACTCACAGGGTCAATAACTCACAGGGTAACTCACTCAGAGGGTCACTCACTCACGCGGTCCAACACTCAGACGGTCACCCACTCACAGGGTCACCCACTCACAGGGTCAGCGTGATGTTACCGCCACTTCGTGGCGAATGGTGACTGTTGTTGTATAAGTGTAAGAGTGAATTCACGAGAGTGTTGTGAGTGAGAGAGGTGAGAGTCGTGAGAGTGTTGTGAGTGAGAGTGTTGTGAGTGAGAGTGTTGAGTGAGAGTGTTGTGAGTGAGAGTGTTGTGAGTGAGAGTGGTGTGAGTGAGAGTGGTGTGAGTGGTGTGAATGAGAGTGGTGTGAGTGAGAGTGGTGTGAGTGAGTGTTGTGAGTGAGAGTGTTGTGAGTGAGAGTGGTGTGAGTGGTGTGAGTGAGAGTGTTGTGAGTGAGTGTTGTGAGTGAGTGTTGTGAGTGAGAGTGTTGTGAGTGAGAGTGGTGTGAGTGAGAGTGTTTGTGAGTTAGAGTGTTTTTAGTGAGAGTGGTGTGAGTGAGAGTGTTGTGAGTGGTGTGTTATGTGAGTGAGAGTGTTGTGAGTGAGAGTGTTGCGAATGAGAGTGATGTGAGAGTGTTGTGAGGGAGAGTGTTGTGAATGAGAGTGGTGTGAGTGAGAGTGTTGTGAGTGAGAGTGGTGTGATGAGAGTGTTATGAGTGAGAGTGGTGTGAGTGAGAGTGGTGTGAGTGAGTGTTGTGAGTGAGAGTGTTGTGAGTGAGAGTGGTGTGAGTGAGAGTGGTGTGAGTGAGAGTGTTGTGAGTGAGAGTGGTGTGAGAGTGGTGTGTGTGAGAGTGTTGTGAGTGAGAATGTTGTGAGTGAGAGTGGTGTGAGTGAGAGTGTTGTGAGAGTGGTGTGAGTGAGAGTGGTGTGAGTGAGAGTGGTGTGAGTGAGAGTGGTGTGAGTGAGTGTTGTGAGTGAGAGTGTTGTGAGTGAGAATGTTGTGAGTGAGAGTGGTGTGAGTGAGAGTGGTGTGAGAGTGGTGTGAGTGAGAGTGGTGTGAGTGAGAGTGGTGTGAGTGAGAGTGGTGTGAGTGAGAGTGGTGCTCACGCTGAGAGTGGTGTGAGAGTGGTGTGAGTGAGAGTGTTGTGAGTGAGTGTTGTGAGTGAGAGTGTTGTGAGTGAGAGTGGTGTGAGTGAGAGTGGTGTGAGTGAGAGTGTTGTGAGTGAGAGTGGTGTGAGTGAGAGTAGTGTGAGTGAGAGTGGTGTGTGTTGTGAGTAAGAGTGTTGTGAGTGAGAGTGTTGAGAGTGTTGTGAGTGAGAGTGTTGTGAGAGTGTTGAGAGTGGTGTGAGTGAGAGTGTTGTGAGTGAGAGTGTTTGTGAGTGAGAAGTGTTGAGGAGTGTTGCTGATGAGAGTGTTGAGAGTGTTGTGAGGGGAGAGTGTTTGTGAGTGTTGTGAGTGAGAGTGTTGTGAGTGAGAGTGTTTGTGAGTGAGAGTGTGTGAGTGTTGAGAGTGTGTGAGTGAGAGTGTGTGAGTGAGAGTGTTGTGAGTGAGAGTGTTGTGAGTGAGAGTGGTTGTGAGTGAGAGTGTTGTGAGAGTGTTGAGAGTGTGATTGTGAGTGAGAGTGTTGTGAGTGAGAGTGTTGTGAGTGAGAGTGTTGAGAGTGTTAGTGAGTGAGAGTGTTGTGAGAAGTGTGTGAGTGTTGAGAGTGTGTGAGTGAGAGTGTTGTGAGTGAGAGTGTTGAGAGTGTTGTGAGTGAGAGTGTTGTGAGTGAGAGTGTTGTGAGTGAGAGTGTTGTGAGAGTGTTGAGAGTGTTAGTGAGTGAGAGTGGTTGTGAGTGAGAGTGTTGTGAGAGTGTTGAGAGTGTTGTGAGTGAGAGTGTTGTGAGTGAGAGTGTTGTGAGTTGAGAGTGTTGTGAGTGTTGAGAGTGTTGTGAGTGAGAGTGTTGTGAGTGAGAGTGTTGTGAGTGAGAGTGTTTGTGAGTGTTGTGAGAGTGTGTGAGAGTGTTGTGAGTGAGAGTGTTGTGGAGAGTGTGAGAGTGTTGTGAGTGAGAGTGTTGTGAGTGAGAGTGTTGTGAGTGAGAGTGTTGTGAGAGGTGAGAGTGTTGTGAGTGATTGAGTGTTGTGAGTGAGAGTGTTGTGAGTGAGAGTGTTGTGAGAGTGTTGAGAGTGTTGTGAGTGAGAGTGTTGTGAGTGAGAGTGTTGTGAGTGAGAGTGTTGTGAGTGAGAGTGTTGTGAGTGAGAGTGTTGTGAGTGAGAGTGTTGTGAGTGAGAGTGTTGTGAGAGTGTTGTGAGTGTTGAGAGTGTTGTGAGTGAGAGTGTTGTGAGAGTGTTGTGAGTGTTGAGAGTGTTGTGAGTGAGAGTGTTGTGAGTGAGAGTGTTGTGAGAGTGTTGAGAGTGTTGTGAGAGTGTTGTGAGTGAGAGTGTTGTGAGTGAGAGTGTTGTGAGAGTGTTGTGAGTGAGAGTGTTGAGAGTGTTGTGAGTGAGAGTGTTGTGAGTGAGAGTGTTGTGAGTGAGAGTGTTGTGAGTGAGAGTGTTGTGAGTGAGAGTGTTGTGAGAGTGTTGAGAGTGTTGTGAGTGAGAGTGGTGTGAGTGAGAGTGTTGTGAGAGTGTTGAGAGTGTTGTGAGTGAGAGTGTTGTGAGTGAGAGTGTTGTGAGTGAGAGTGTTGTGAGTGTTGAGAGTGTTGTGAGTGAGAGTGTTGTGAGTGAGAGTGTTGTGAGTGAGAGTGTTGTGAGTGTTGAGAGTGTTGAGAGTGTTGTGAGTGAGAGTGTTGTGAGAGTGTTGAGAGTGTTGTGAGTGAGAGTGTTGTGAGTGAGAGTGTTGTGAGAGTGTTGAGAGTGTTGTGAGTGAGAGTGTTGTGAGTGAGAGTGTTGTGAGTGAGAGTGTTGTGAGAGTGTTGAGAGTGTTGTGAGTGAGAGTGTTGTGAGTGAGAGTGTTGTGAGTGAGAGTGTTGTGAGTGAGAGTGTTGTGAGTGAGAGTGTTGTGAGTGAGAGTGTTGTGAGTGAGAGTGTTGTGAGAGTGTTGTGAGTGTTGAGAGTGTTGTGAGTGAGAGTGTTGTGAGAGTGTTGTGAGTGTTGAGAGTGTTGTGAGTGAGAGTGTTGTGAGTGAGAGTGTTGTGAGAGTGTTGAGAGTGTTGTGAGAGTGTTGTGAGTGAGAGTGTTGTGAGTGAGAGTGTTGTGAGAGTGTTGTGAGTGAGAGTGTTGAGAGTGTTGTGAGTGAGAGTGTTGTGAGTGAGAGTGTTGTGAGTGAGAGTGTTGTGAGTGAGAGTGTTGTGAGTGAGAGTGTTGTGAGAGTGTTGAGAGTGTTGTGAGTGAGAGTGTTGAGAGTGTTGTGAGTGAGAGTGTTGAGAGTGTTGTGAGTGAGAGTGGTGCTCACGCTGAGAGTCAGCGCGTGGTGGAGCTGTTCGTCCGCCGTGGTCGCCGCCTCCGAGGCGGACTCGGCCTCCATCGCTGCCCCGACACTCACGGCGGGCGCCTCCTCTCTGCTTCCCCTCTCTCCCCTCTTCTGACGGGGAGGCTGAATGACATGCGGGGAGGGTCGAGGCGATGAACCACAGCGACACCAGCAGCACAGCGCACGGCTTTGCACGTCCACTTGGTGCTACTGCAGTCCCGCTCTCCCCTCAACCCCCCATCACCACTCACCACCGGTCTCTCTTTATCTCCTGTCTCACCTTCCCTCTCACCTCACCTATGAAACTATGTCTCCCCTCACCTCCCGTCTCCCCTCACCTCCCGTCTCCCCTCACCTCCCGTCTCCCCTCACCTCCCCTCTCACCTCACCTCCCGTCTCACCACACCTCTCGTCTCCCCTCACCTCCCGTCTCCCCTCCCGTCTCCCCTCACCTCCCCTCTCCCCTCACCTCCCGTCTCCCCTCCCGTCTCACCTCCCGTCTCCCCTCACCTCCCATCTCACCACCGGCCTTACCTCACCACCGGTCTCCCCTCACATCTCTGTGGGCACCGCTCGCGGGGTCAGGGGTCACCGCCGCCAGCGACACCACGTGCGCGCGCCCCGGTCACGTGACGGCGCGACCGTCATCGGCAAGGGAGCGAGGCGCGAGCGCCGCGTGGTGACGTCACCCTGGGCCCTCCCAGGGCAATGCAAATCCACGTTGAGTGGCAATCCCGTTAACTCGTTGGCTTAATAATAGTCACTGTCGTATTCACTAGGGAATTTAAACATTGTGCGATAGGGAACATTTAAAAAATAGTTATTCTTCTCAGGCCGCCCACGGTGTAAAGTGCGGTCTCCAACTCTATCACCTCCTATATTGATGAAGGGCCACCGCCCGAAACGTCTATTAAGGCCACACAGTGTTGTTGACGAATGTGTTGCTGTGGCTACGTTGTCATCAAGATCCCGAGGGGCTTTGTATGGAAGAGGGCCGGGGTGAGCAGCACGTGACTCTTCGAGGACTTGCCACGTGCCATCTCGTACTCACGCGCACCGCCCATGACCACAGTTGACGATGCACGGTTGGCTACGTACGATGCGAAACAAGTTCAACATATAGTGGGGAGTTTATTTTTACAGAATTTGAAAAAAAATGGCTCTTCTTGTTATGTTCGTTGCCGACCCCTGGAATAGGGCATGGGATGAGATGCAATTTGTTCATTGCGCTTGTAAGATTTTCTCAATGATCTTGAGGAGAGGGGAGAGGGTTGAGATAGGGCGCCAGTTGTTTGGGTCGTCTGCAGCGCCGCCTTTACGATGACGGGCGCACGGGAGACGGATGCCTCGAGAATGGAGAGTTTGAATCATGTGGCCATCGGTTTTCCGATGGGAGATCCCCGCACAGTGGAGGGCAAAGACAGGCAGGACACCGGCACCATCAACACCCGTGGGGAGCAAGGTTAGGACCTTACATTACGAGATTGGGAGGAAATTACATTTCTTATTAGGGGCAATGGGGAGGATGGGTCAGGAGGTGGGTGAACGGTTGTATTAGGAAGCCACTGGAGCTGGGCACTTTTAAATCTAGATTGAAAACGCATTTCTCTAGCACAGTTGTGTTTAGTTTGTCGCCCACCTCCGATTAGCACGGTTGGCCACGCACGGTGAGAAAGAAGTTCAACATACGTCACAAGGCTGGATGTGAGTGTCGCAGACCTGGCCTGCAGATGCACAGTGTGAGTTAAACCCATTCACTTGTATGCACTAGTTGTAGTTTCATAATAAAGGCAACTGCCAATTGAGCAAAAGCCTCAGCGGTGCTCCTCGACATTCACCATCAAGGGCCTTCATGGCGTGTGTGGGTGGTTATATTAGTGTGAGTGCGATAGTATGCTGTGTGGGGGTTATATTAGCCTGAGTGCGATAGTGTATTCTCTGTGTGTGCGGTTATATTACCCAGAACACGGTAGTTAGTGTCTGCTATGTGTCGTTATATTAGCGTGATTACGGTAGCATGTTGAAGGTGATTATGTTAGCGTGATTACGGTAGTTAGTGTTATGTCTGTGGCAATATTAGGATGAGTACGGTAGTGTGCTCTTTGTTTTGGATGAATCTTGACTTAAAGCTTTAGTGACTGCAGGAATTCATATTCTTGGATCTTTCGGTAAAGTTACGGTAAAGTCACGTAAAGTTACGTGACTTTACCGAAAGACCCAAGAATATGTATCAGGATGCATTGCGTTTGCTATTTGAGTGCTTATATTAGGGTGAGTACGGTAGCGGAAGCGGCCCGCGTGGATGGCGCGCGGTGCATGCTGGACCAGGTGCTGCCCTCCGCAGGCCGTGGCCCATTCGTTGCTGCTCCCGGTGGCCTCTGCTGCTGCCCCCCCTCCCCTGCTGCTGCCCCCCCCTCCTCTCATCGATGTAGCACCGGCCTCTTCTGCTGTAGCTCTACCCACGTACCTCCCCGGGCGGAGCGCCGGCTGCCGCGGTCAACGCGCGCCGCCCCGGGGAGCAGCCTCCCGCCTGACTGACTGGAGCCGGAGAGGTTCGGCCAACTCGCCCCCCTGAGAGACCCCCTGAGAGACCCCCCGAGAGACCCCCAGAGAGACCCCCCGAGAGACCCCCTGAGAGACCCTCCCTGGCAGCGCGAGACCCCCCCCCCCCCCGTGAGCGATAGCCCCCCTCTCTCCGAAAGTCGCCCCCCCCAGCTCCTTCCCGAAGTTCCTGGGCAGCCCGAGACGCGGCACTTGGCGCCTGGCCCCGCAGGGGAGCCCCGAGTCGTCACCCCCGCCGCCAGCCCGCCGGCTCCTCTTCCTGCTCCGCGGCGCCCCGGTAAGTGGCTCGTCCCAGATCCACGGCCGTGCCGACTGTGGCCATGCAACGCGTGGAGTGAGCCGCCCGCAGGTTGCGTTCCCCCGACGGAGTGAGGAACAGCAAAGCGACGCGAACTCTCTCCAGAAGGGCCCTCGTAGTGGTGGTGGGGGGCAGACCTCGACATTGGGGCCTCTGTGTATGTTACCGTATTGTTGAACTTCTTTCGCACCGTACGTAGTCAGCCGTGACCAGGCGCCAGATGTCTCCACTCTCAATGTCAGCGCCGTGTCGCTTTGATGCTGGGCCTCCCAGTAGCGTCACTCTCCTGAGTGAGAGACCCCAGCGTAAAAGAGTCCCCCAGTGTCTACTCTCCTGAGTGAGAGACACCCCCAGCGTCACTCTCCTGAGTAAGAGACCCCCAGCGTGTGAGACTCCCCCAGCGTCACTCTCCTGAGTGAGAGACCCCCAGCGTGAGAGAGTCCCCCAGTGTCTACTCTCCTGAGTGAGAGTCACCCAGTGTCTACTCTCCTGAGTGAGAGAGTCCCCCAGCGTCTACTCTCCTGAGTGAGAGAGACCCCAGCGTCTACTCTCCTGAGTGAGAGAGACACCCAGTGTCTACTCTCCTGAGTGAGAGAGACCCCAGCGTCTACTCTCCTGAGTGAGAGAGACACCCAGTGTCTACTCTCCTGAGTGAGAGACCCCAGCGTCTACTCTCCTGAGTGAGAGAGACTCCAGCGTCTACTCTCCTGAGTGAGAGACACCCAGTGTCTACTCTCCTGAGTGAGAGAGTCCCCCAGCGTCTACTCTCCTGAGTGAGAGAGACCCCAGCGTCTACTCTCCTGAGTGAGAGAGACACCCAGTGTCTACTCTCCTGAGTGAGAGAGACCCCAGCGTCTACTCTCCTGAGTGAGAGAGACACCCAGTGTCTACTCTCCTGAGTGAGAGACCCCAGCGTCTACTCTCCTGAGTGAGAGAGACTCCAGCGTCTACTCTCCTGAGTGAGAGAGACACCCAGTGTCTACTCTCCTGAGTGAGAGAGACACCCAGTGTCTACTCTCCTGAGTGAGAGAGACACCCAGTGTCTACTCTCCTGAGTGAGAGACCCCAGCGTCTACTCTCCTGAGTGAGAGAGACTCCAGCGTCTACTCTCCTGAGGGAGAGAGACACCCAGTGTCTACTCTCCTGAGTGAGAGAGACCCCAGCGTCTACTCTCCTGAGTGAGAGAGTCCCCCAGCGTCAACGGCTATCAACAGTTGTCAAACTCTGCAGTACATATCAAGGTGTCATCGGCCCAGTGAATGAGTTGTTTGCACTTGTGGGAGGAAACCAGAGCAGCCCGGAGGAAACCCCACCCACGCGTAGAGATGGAAACAGCTGGCGGTTAGTCCCATTTGCTATCCTCAGTATCAGACTCTTCATTTATCCTCGAGGAATCCGATGAGCTATGAAGCTCTTTCACAGACGTCCGGTAGGGGCAGGTAAGCAAGTCAAAACAACAAACAATACAAAAAAACGATCGCAGTGCAAAGTAGAGAAAAGGTATGGAAGTCGCTGAAAAAAACACAGTACTGCGCACACACACACTCTGTGTAACGTGCGGGAGAACATACAAACTCGACACAGAACGGCGCCCGTGTTGGGGATCGAACGCAGACACTTGTCATGGGGGCATGAGCGTCACCGCTGGCAACTTCACCCACGTCTCTCGATCCGATTTGCAGGAGTAACCGGGCAAACCTGTCGGCCACCTCGCCTGTGTTAGTGCTGCCGGCAATGGTGGCGCATCATATACTCCCTTCTGCCGCACGTACCCAGCAGGGCTTTCAATGTCAGGGAGCGACTGGGAGCTTATGCACTTTGCCTTAGAACTGCCTTTTGTGTTTAGTTTGTTGTCCTTTCCCCGCACCTCCGATTAGCGCGGTTGGATACGTACACTACGAAAGAAGTTCAACATACACACGTACAATATTAACAGCAAGGGCAAAAACCATGCATACGAATGATCTTAACAAGCAGGAGGTTTTCGCAGCCAGTATCATACAAATTCATTGTTACTGGTTGTGATTTTTGGGCTGGTCGCGTAAGTAAAATGTGTCGTGGAACGTCCTCCACCCTGACAGCCAGTTAATAATGTCAAGAGAACAAACATGGCAGTTTATTACTGCTGCAGAGCACTCCGCCACCCTGCAGAGCACTCCGGCACCCTGGAGAGCACTCCGGCACCCTGCAGAGCACTCCGGCACCCTGCAGAGCACACCGGCACCTTGGGGAGCACTCCGGCACCCTGCAGAGCACTCCGGCACCCTGGAGAGCACTCCGGCACCCTGCAGAGCACACCGGCACCTTGGGGAGCACTCCGGCACCCTGCAGAGCACTCCGGCACCTTGGGGAGCACTCCGGCACCCTGGAGAGCACTCCGGCACCTTGGGGAGCACTCCGGCACCCTGGAGAGCACTCCGGCACCCTGGAGAGCACTCCGGCACCTTGGGGAGCACTCCGGCACCCTGGAGAGCACACCGGCACCTTGGGGAGCACTCCGGCACCCTGGAGAGCACTCCGGCACCCTGCAGAGCACTCCGGCACCCTGGAGAGCACTCCGGCACCCTGGAGAGCACTCCGGCACCCTGCAGAGCACTCCGGCACCTTGGAGAGCACTCCGGCACCCTGCAGAGCACTCCGGCACCTTGGGGAGCACTCCGGCACCCTGGAGAGCACTCCGGCACCTTGGGGAGCACTCCGGCACCCTGCAGAGCACACCGGCACCCTGCAGAGCACACCGGCACCCTGGAGAGCACTCCGGCACCCTGCAGAGCACACCGGCACCTTGGGGAGCACTCCGGCACCCTGCAGAGCACTCCGGCACCCTGCAGAGCACTCCGGCACCCTGCAGAGCACTCCGGCACCCTGGAGAGCACACCGGCACCTTGGGGAGCACTCCGGCACCTTGGGGAGCACTCCGGCACCTTGGGGAGCACTCCGGCACCCTGCAGAGCACACCGGCACCCTGCAGAGCACTCCGGCACCCTGGGGAGCACTCCGGCACCTTGGAGAGCACTCCGGCACCTTGGGGAGCACTCCGGCACCCTGCAGAGCACACCGGCACCCTGCAGAGCACACCGGCACCCTGCAGAGCACCCCGACACGCTGGAGACGCTTGTGCACCGCGCGACGGTCCCGCGTGTTTGACCACCTCAGGTGGTGGAGGGTTCTTAGCAACACAAATTTGTCCGATCATTCATTCATGACGTGGTGGCTATGCATCTCGCTGCTGCTCTCTGGCCTGTGCTGTTAGGGGACTGTAGTCCACCTGAGTAGTGCACCTCGGTGACTAGGAGATGTTGACTCCCTCGCTTGGTATGCAGGAGGTCGTGGGTTCGATCCCGACCCGGACACCTGCTGTGTATTAGGATTTTGCATCTCTCTCTCCGTGGTTGCGTGGATTTTTCTCCGGGTCCTCTGGTCTTGCCCTACCCAATTGACTGCTATAAATGTCCACATGACGATAAGCCACTTCGTTGAGCTATCATTTGTGTTAGCCAGGTTGCTTCTGAAAAATAGAGCGATATAGCAGCTCAGTGGAGGCTTGCCTGGTAAAAAAAAAATTGTTTCGTGTTGAGCCGCGATGCCGACCGCCCCTTGCTGATCTGCCCGCAGGCTGAACCGCTCTTGCTGGGATGTCTGAGGAGCTGTTCGTGAAGAAGGCCAAAGGGAACTGCGGCGACGGCGAGATGTGGCCCGAAGTCACGGTGAAAATCGAGAAGGATTCCTCGGGTAATTGTTTGCCACGTTCCCTGTGATTCGGCACTCGATGGCAGACGTCTGCGAGGTTTTACTTGCGACGACGGACAAAGAACGAATGCACGGGAGACGTCCTCTTGGTGTGTGCTGTGCGGTTGTTGTGGTGTGCATTGTGTGATGTGATGTATGGTACGTGGTGTGTGGTTGGTGTGTGTTATGTGGTGTCACGTCTGGTATGTGCTGTGTGGCGTGCGATGCATGCGGTGTGTGTGATGTGAGGTACGTATGGTGTATGTGGGGAACGGTGGTGCAGTGGTTAGCGTGCTGCGCTACGAACCTGGTGGCCGGAGTTTGATTCCTGCTCGTGGCCAACACCAGTGATGAGTCGACCTAGGGCCTCACCTAGGTCGACTCAGCCTCAAATGACTACCTGGTGCAGTGTGTAAAAACATCGCCACTGGGGAGACAAAGGCGGTCGGACGTGGTGCTTGCCACCCACCGCCATGCATACCGTTCCCGGCCTTCATAGGTGCTCGCTTAACTGCACTTGCCCCAACAGTCTGTCAATGTTACACGGGGGATCTTTGTCTTTGTATGTACGCGTGTTGAACGTCTTTCGCCCACCGTACGTAGCCAATCGTGCCAATCGGGAGTCGCGTATGCGGCGTACCGTATGCTGTGCCGTGCGGTGTGCTGCAGAAGACCACCAGGGCTACACGAGGCCGGACGAGGTGGAGGCCTGTCGGGGCGGCGGAGTGGTGCGGCCTGCGTGGGCAGAGGTGGAGGTGGAGCTGGAGGACACCAACGATGGCGGCAGCCCGCTGTGGGACGGTGCGGGCTGGTGCACCACACACCGCACCATCGCCACACATCACCCTCCTCACCATATCTCACCCTCACCATACCTCACCATATCTCACCCTCGCCATTCCTCGCCATACCTCACCATACCTCACCATACATCACCATTCCTCACCATACCTCGCCCTCCTCGCCCTCGCTCCGTTCATCCAGCGCGCTCCCGTCTTGCGTCGGTAACGGTTTAACGGAGCGCCCCAAACCCTCCCCCTTTCCCCATCCCCTCCCGGCTTGTGCAGACACCTTGGGCGCGGTCACGAAGACGCGCGTGTGGTGGTCCGACGCGGAGACCAGGGTCCTGCTGAAGCTCATCCAGGACATCAACGTGGGCACCATCCTCGACGGCAAGCGCCAACGCAACGCCGCCGTCTTCAAGAAGATCCAGCGCGAGCTGTCGCTGCGCGGCGTCGAGAAGAACTGGGAGGCCGCCCGCTGGAAGTGGAAGGCCCTGAAGGCCAAGTACATCGCGGCCAAGCGTGCGATAGGCCGCAACGGCGCGGGCACCTGGACCAACTTCCGCTTCTACTCCGACATGGACAAGATCCTGGGAGGACGGCCCAACGCGCTGAGGGCGAGCGCCCACCTGCAGGGTACGTCCGCTTCTCGCGCTTTCTCTCTCTCCCCGCTCGTCGGCCGAGCGGCGGCGATGACGTCACGGCGACACGGCACCGCGCGGGCCGTGCTTCCGAGGACGCGCGCTGCCAAATTTGTGTGCATGAGAGCCTCCTTCCAGCGTCACGTGGTGCACGAGCGTTGTGACGTCATGCCGATTGCGATTGTGCGAGCTCGACCCGCCTGGTGAGTTTGAGAGCAATCCTCGCCGCAAAATTTGTATCCAAATTGCTAAATTGTGGCAGCCGTCAACAACACCTCGTTCCTGCTGATGAGGGAACCGCGGTGGGAGAGCGTCGTGTGGGGGACGTGAAACTGAATGTTGGTAGCTGAGGTTAACCTCTGCTCTCCCGCGGGAGTGGATTCTGTCCGCTGGCGATGCTTCCTGGCCGACGGATCGCGAGCGCCAGAAGGTCGCGGTTTTGGCTGAGCGTCTTGGAGCAGTCCTCCGTGGGGAATGCGAACTGAAGCGCTCTGTGGCGCTCGCCGGTGTCTCCTGCGGTGCCTCTCGCGGTATCTCCACGCAATGTCCACGCGGTGTCTCCTGTGGTGTCCACGCGGTGTCTCCACGCGGTGTCTCCACGCGGTGTCTCCACGCGGTGTCTCCACGCGGTGTCTCCACGCAACGTTCACACAGTGTCTCCCACGCTATCTCCACACAATGTCCACACGGTGTCTCCTGTGGTGTCCACGCGGTGTCTCCCACGGTATCCCCACGCAATGTCCACACGGTGTCTCCCACGGTGTCTCCCACGGTGTCTCCACGCGGTGTCTCCACGCAACGTTCACACAGTGTCTCCTGTGGTGTCCACGCGGTGTCTCCCACGGTATCTCCACGCAATGTCCACGCGGTGTCTCCTGCGGTGTCTCCTGCCGTATCTCCACGCGGTGTCTCCACACAATGTCCACGCGGTGTCTCCTGCGCTCTCGCGGTATCTCCACGCAATGTCCACGCGGTGTCTCCTGTGGTGTCCACACAGTCTCTCCTGCGGTGTCTCCCGCGGTATCTCCTGTGGTGTCCACAGTCTCTCCTGTGGTGTCTCCCGCGGTGTCTCCTGTGGTGTCCACACAGTCTCTCCTGCGGTGTCTCCCGCGGTATCTCCACGCGGTGTTTCCCGCGGTGCCTCCCGCGGTGTCTCCCATGGTGTCCACGCTCAGATTGTTCTTCGTCCACCCCAATCCACCGTGGCGGTTCTCGGAGCAGAGGCTCCGAAGGATCTCGTGCCGTGACTTCCCCCCTCCTCCGACGCGATCGCCGTGGCCGTCGTAACGACTTGAGCCGTGCTCCGCTTTGTGCTTAACCAGGGGATCGGCAGCGTGCGGCTCCGGTGGCCGCGTGCGACTCTTCAAGGGCCGCTTTGTTACGTTATTTATTGACGGCCGCCGTCTCGTATTCACCACGTTGCATTGAGTTTTTACCGAATTGTTTGGTTTGCCGACCCCAGGGCTCGACGACGGCGCTCGTTCGGTGTCTGCCCTCGATTGGATTTGTTGACGCGGGTGAGAAACGTTCAGCCTCGGGCTGTTTTTGCGAGAAAGATCCACAGAGGGCCTTGGTGAAAGAAAGGAAATCCGAGCTTTTGCAGACGCTTCAGTCGCCGAACGCGTTCGAGTAGCCGAACGCATTCGTGCACCGCTCGATTAACGCCGGCAATTGGCGCAGAAACAGCGTCAACTCGCGTGGGCATCGCCAACCTGCGCGTGCGAGAGAAGGGAGCTCTTAAATTAAGGAGGCCAGTGAAGGGAAGAGGGGATTTGAGCCAAAAACCACGAAATGAGGGAGCGGCAGATCTCGCCCTGGTCCAGTAGCCTGGCGGCCTGGTGTCTGTGACCACGAATGCTTTGCACTCGCATGCCGACAGGCGGGCCCAAGCGCCGTGCCCGAGTCTCACCCCCGATTAGCACGGTTGGACATACGGTACATGCGTGCAACCCGGACGGCAAACGTCTCGGTGTATCGGCCACCAGGGCCTTGCCCCGCATCGATCAATTGCCTTGCGCGCTTACGCGAGTCTCCTGGCCGGCGCAGGGCTCCGTCCATGCGGCCCCACGCATCGCACACCGCGCCGGTCAGGAGGTGCCGCGTCCTCTCCGGTTGATCGGACGCGAGGTTCCCCGGTGTCGGCGTCAGGGCGGAGCGCGATGCTGCGCCGGTCACCACCGAGCCGAGGTGGCGATTGGTGCACGGCTGTTAGCGCGCGGCTGGCGATCTGCTCGGCAGCACCGCCGTGCCGCCCAGGCGCAGTTCCCGGGGCGAGGTGCTTGTGGAGGGAATCGCGTCGGAGGCACAGAGAGGAGGGCCTGGGTTCGTGTCCCGACCCTGTCGTTTGTCCGTGTGCGTCCTGTGTGTTCTCTCCCTTTGTTCTGCATGGGGTTCCTGCAGGCTCTCCAGTTTCCTCCCATAGCTAAACAGTGACAATGTTGCTAGCGGCACACGAGGGGGTGGGTGGCCAACACCATGCCTGGCCGCCTTTTTTTACACGCAACACCAGGTACTCATTTGAGGCTGAGTCGACCTAGGGGTGGCCCAGAACTGGTTCAGATAATCGTCACTGGTTTTGGCCGTGAGTGGGAATCGGACTCGAGTCACCGGTTTCGTAGGGCAGCGCGTTAACTGCTACACTACCGCTCAGCACACACATGCAGTGTAACTGGTATAGGCCAATACATCCCAATGTTGCAAAAAATACCTACAAATTACCCAATTGTAATTCAGAATCTGAATATTTGTTTATATTGGAGGAATCCGCAGAGCTATAAAGCTCTTTTTCACAGATGTCCTGTAGGCACGGGTCAGAACGTTACAATAACAGACAACACAATAGTAGTGCAAAGTATAGGCAAGGTAAACAAATCACTTTAAATCAAACGATTTTATCTTACCAGGTAACCATGCTTAGTTATCACAATTACTGGCCTGGTGGCACTGTCTGACCCGTTGGAGGCGAGCAGAGCGACTGAGTGACGGCAGATGGTGGCAACAGAGCAGCGGCGGAGAGATCCCCGTGCTGCTTCCGCTCAGCGCGCGGGGACCGTTGGCTGCGGGGAGGCTCCTCGGCCGATGTGGAGCCTCCACGCGCGAGTCGTGAGCCAGCGGAGCTGGCAACTTCGCCGTCGCTTATCCGCGGCAGGTTGAACCTGACCGGGGAAGCAGCCGCGGGCTCGCCTCGCCGCAGGTGCGGGAGAGGGGCCGACTTGACCCCGGCGGGAGAGATGGAGGGTTGTGCCAGAGTCTCGCCGGTGGCCTCGGGCTCCGCACGGTTCCGTGCCGGACATCCGAGGCGGGGCAGTCGGGTGTCCTCGCGATGGCATCGCCGCCCCCGTACGTAGGGGAGCGGCCGCCGTCGAGGGTTCGTGCTTTCGAGGATTCGTCCAGAGGGACGTACGTCTCGGCGTTCGCGCGGGGGTCGTCTTCGCCGAGGTCCGTTTGGGGTCGGAGCGGATTGCAGGGGTAGACGCGGCTCGCGCGGAGCCGTAGCGTGGTGAACTCGCTCTCCGATGACCTCTGACGCCGCGTTACGTTCGTGGTTTATGTCGCTGGTACGTACGTGGCTGCAGAGGACACGAGGTGTCCGAGCCGTCTTGATCCAAGTGCCGTGATGGGAGGCATTGATTGCATCGTAGATGTTGAAGTGCACTACCGGCAGACGAGCATCCGTCTTCATCAGTCATGAAGTTCCTCCGGTTGCATCGTCCCCATTTCTTCCGTCGTTCAACCCTCATATGCCCAAGTTCTGCCTGGCGACAGCTGCAACATGCATGTGTGCGTGCCTGGGGTCATTTCGCCCGGACGGCCTCTCGCTTGGAGTGGTCTTAGAAGAAGAGACTGGCTCTTGCGGAATGACGAAGACACCTCTGCGGGTTTAGGGTGTCAATCAGCCGGACCCAGACATCGTCTTTTCCCAGCCGCAGAAGTCGAATCACTACCGTGCCACCGTCGGCGTTTGAGGAGTTTCCTTTCCTACACTGAACGTCTCCAATGTGGTGACATTTCGCCAATGGTAAGAGCTCGGTAAGATTTGTTATCTGGTCGTCGGAGTAATTGCAATTATCTTTGACAACAGTCTCTAAGCAGTTTTTATTGATTTCGGGTTTGACTTTTGCAGCGATCGTACAGCGAGCGGGTCTCAGTGACTGGCAGCAGGCTTTTGCTGAAAAGCCTCAGAAAAAAAACGCTGCTAGTTTCCCACTGTGGCGATTTCCCCACGTGGAACCCCCAGCGAGCGATGCTGCGCCAACCGACCCAGTGGGCCCCGGAGCTCCGGAGTCTTTAAACGCCACAGTGACCTCTCCAAGAGGCGACGACAACGAGCGACGCGTCGGCCCCCCCCCCCCACTCCACTCCCCCCCACCCCCTTCTCCCAACAAACTGCCGGGATTTTGCGGCAGGGGTGACCGTGGAAAAAGAGAGGCGGCGTTCAACGGCACCGGGTAGGTCAACCGCAGAGGGGGGAGGGGTTTGTAGGGGGGGGGGGGGGGGACGACACCTGCGGGCTCGGTGACGAGAGCGTGAGCGCGCGACGGTAGAACGAGGGCGCGATGTCTTTCCACAACCCCCTCCTCCTCCGATGGTTCACTCTTCTCCTCCTTTGTCGTGTCTCCTGTCCAACCGATACGTCGTCTTCCCAATATTCTGCACAGGCCACTGCTTCTGCGGTGTTGGCATTGCCAAACCTCGAGGAGTGCGTCGTGTGGGGCTGCAGGGCATCTCGGGGAGATGATCCGTGTTGTTTGCTTCCCTGTTGTGTAGACGTCACCCACCCACGATTTCATGAGAGAGTAGCATCTGCCGGAAATCCACTTGCGTTCCGTCCATTTGAAATTGGGAGCCAAACGCGAGCTCCCTCGCTGGGAGGAGGGGGGGGCGACTCCTTGCCGGCTCCATCCAGCAGCTTTTGTCGCTTTTAATTTTTACCCCCCCGCCCCGATCTTTTTTTTCCCTCCCCCGCGACGGTTCACTGAGCGCCCGCTCTCTGCCTCGCTGTGCAGGGGGCTTGGCCGTGGTCACGAAGACGCGCGTCTGGTGGTCTGACGCCGAGACGAGGATCTTTTTGAGGCTCATTCAAGACTTTGACGCCGGGCCCGTCCTCGACGGGAAGAGGCAGCGCAACGCGGCGATGTTCAAGAAGATCCAGCGCGAGATGTCCGCCCACGGGGTGCATAAGAGCTGGCAGGTGGCGCGCTGCAAGTGGAAGACCCTGAAGTCGAGGTACATTGCCGCGAAGCAGGCGGATGGACGCGACGACGATGACACCGCCGCAGCCGCCGCGGGGAGTTGGATCAAGTTTAGGTTCTATCCGGAAATGGACGCCATCCTGCGAGGATGCCCATGTGCCCTTAGAACGAGTTCGAGCTCTAAAACAAGCGCTAAGACGGAAGGTACGTGTGCCCGCCATCTCCACCCGGCGCCACCGCCGCCGCGCTCTCTCTCGCCTCTCCCTGCTGTGAGTTGCGGCCGTGAGTTGCGATCGCGGACGGTGATCCCCTTGTGTGCAGGAGGTCGTGGGTTCGATCCCAAACCTGCTGTACATTTGGAGTTTGCGTCTCTCTCTATCCCCGTGGTCGCGTGGATTTTCTGCGGGTCCTCCGGGTTTCCCCTCCGCATTTATAACAAACATGGGATCGCGAGTTTCCATCGCGAGCTGCGACCGGGAGCATCGCCGCAGCCCTGCGACGCTGTCGGCGGTGGCGGTGGCATCCCGATCCTGGCGTGAGCGTCGAGGGGGGCCGCGTGCTCCCCGTTGCTGTGGTTACTCAGGGTTCCAGTACTGGAGTCGCCATCTGTAGGTGACTCTTCGTACATCACCTGTCTTTCCTGATGCTGCGGTTACTCAGGATCCCTCTACAGGAGATGAGCGGTGGGATCTGGGGAGATAGAAATGCGCTCTGGCGGTCCTTGTCTGGGTGATGGACGGCACCGGTCCTTGTCTGGGTGATGGACGGCACCGGTCCTTGTCTGGGTGATGGACGGCACCGGTCCTTGTCTGGGTGATGGACGGCACCGGTCCTTGTCTGGGTGATGGACGACACCGGTCCTTGTCTGCGTGATGGACGGCACCGGTCCTTGTCTGCGTGATCGTGCCGTCATGAATGACCGAGAGGGCATTTGTGAGAGATGCTTGCGCGGTGCAGCCTCCGTTTGTCGCAGGGGGCTGCGAGCACAGGAAAGGAGGCTAATGACGCTGATCTGTTCAAAGTATTTGGCTGCTATAAATTTCCACGCGATAAGCCACTTCCTTGCGTGGTCACTTGTGGCAGCCAGGTCGACAAAGAGCTATAGAGCTCAGTGGGTCTTATCTGGTGTCATAAACGTTTTAGTGTATTTATTTAAAGTGATTTGTTTACCTTTCCTATACTTTGCACTACTTGGTGTTGTAGTGTTCTGACCCCGTGCCACTACTGAACATCTGTAAATAATAAAAGCTTCATAGCTCATTGGATTTCTCCAGGATTTGGAGTCGCACACAAACCACTTTGGTGAGAGGCGTCTCCCGTTCACGGCCCCGCTGAGCCGCTGGTGGAAAATCCCCAGCCCCATGGTGGGGGGCGAGCACTGGCCGCTGATGATGTACGTGTGCGTGCACGTACGTTGAACTTCTTTCGCGCCGTACAATCGGAGGTGCCGGGGGAGGTGGGGATCCTACTTGGCTCGTTGACTTCGACGTTGGACGACTGCAGAAATGGAATATGAATGTGTGGTGGAAACCGCGACGGCCGTGTGTGATGTCTTCCACTAAGCGCGGAGTGGAATAGAGTTTTGATTTGAAGCGAGGGATTTTTTTTTTACTTTTTAAAATATTTTCCTCTTTTTTTGGGGGGCCTAACTGGAACCTGTCACGGGATTTGAAGTGCGATTGATCTGCATGGCTCCTGCTCCATCCACTGTGGTACAGCTGAGTACTGGCGCCGAGTCCACCTGAAGTGCAGTAATAATGCTTGAGCCTCACAGCAAGAAGGCTCCCAGGTTCGATTCCCGACTCGGGTGTCTCTCTGAGTGGAGTTTGTGTATTCTCTCTCACCCTGTTCTGCATGGGCTTCCTCCGGGTTCTCCAGTTTCCTCCCATAGCAAAACTAATTACACCGCACCACGCACGCACCACACGCACCACATACGCACCACCCACCACACCATACACCACACACACGCACCACGCACACCACACACACACACCACACCATACCGCACATGCACCACACCAGACCACACACGCACTACACGCACCACACGCACCACACCCACCACACACACGCACCACACGTGCACCACACACATGCGCACGACACACCACACACATGCCTACCACACACGCAGCACACACGTACCACACACACGCGCACCACACGCATACCACACACACGTACAACACACACGAACCACACACGCAACACACACCACATGCACCACATGCACCACACACCACCACACACGCACCACACACCACCAAACACATGCGCACCACACACACCGCACCACACACATGCCACACACACACACACACCAACACACACACCAACACACACACCAACACAAAAAGACAGACAAAGATCCCCCATATTGCCTTAACAGTCTGTAGGGGCAAGTGCTGTTAGCGAGCACCTATAAAAGCCGGAACGCTACACCAGCACCACGCCCGACCGTCTTTGTCTCCCCAGTGGCGATGTTTACACACCGCACCAGGTACTCGCCCTGGGACTCGTTCCACCATCCCGTTCGTCTGGGGATGATAGGGCGACGTTCAAACTTTTTTTATGCCCAGCAGAAGACACGCCTCCTTAAATAATTCGGAGGAAAAAAAATTCCTTTGATCAGTAAGGAGGAGCCCCCTTATCTAACATGTTCTCGTGGAGGTATGCCTCAGTGATGGCCGCAGCCGATTGGTTGAGTACGATAGGCGCTCCCCACGGACTGTTGGATGGGGAAATGTCAGCGGCCAACATTTCGTCGACCGCCTGACGTGCATGTTCCTTCTCTGTGGGGCTCAACCTATAAGGGTTCTGGCGAATGGGGGCGGTCTCACCCATGTCGATGTGGTGGCTCAAGAGAGTCGTGCGTCTGATATCAAATTTACCTTTACTAAAAACGTCCGAAAACTCCCGTAAAAGTGCGCGCAACTCGTCCCTCTGAGCGTCCGACACCTCAGGATTTTCGGAGCAGAGTGCGTCCATCCACCTCTAATCGCAACCCTGCTCCGCCCCCGCAACAATGTTCCTATCGCAACTTGCGGTCGACGCGTGGACTATCACAGTGCCCTCCTGAATGACCGCCGTCTCCAACTCTGCGTTCAGGATCTGGATGAACGGCTCTTGGTCGTTGGACACCAGGGTCTGGGCCCCCACCAACGTCAGCCCACGAACCGCCTTGTTTGAGGGTCCCAACAGGACGCCTCCCGCGGGCGCTTCCCGATCGAGCTGCTTACGCAGTCGCACGGGCACCAGCATTTGTGTACCGGGGGGAATCCTAACAGTTTTACTTGCCAGTGCTTGAACCGCGATGGCAGCCGTGCGCAATCGAGTGGGGGAAGATAAAAATTGTCATGCGAAGGCCCAACAGCAACTCGAGATTCCCCTTGTCCACCAAGATTTTCAGGGGCATCTTCCCCAAGAAATCGGTCCCGAGTATCCAGGGCACAGCTAGGGATGTTGAAACTGGGACCGGCCCCCTCAATTTCACGTCCCCGATGCGCACTTCAGCCGATATCTGTCCGATGATACCCAATGAGCCGCCATTCGCGGCAAAGCACGGAACCGCGACAGGGCAAAGGGAACAACAATTCTGGGGCAAAATGTTGTAAATCAGTTCCGAAATAATGGTAGCGGATGCTCTGGTGTCAATGGGCACCCGTACCTCTACCCCCTCTATTGTCCCAACCACAGCCAACGATCTCGCCGCCGCAGCAGCGACCACTCGGTGAGCCAACTCCGACCCCTGACCAGGGCGGTGTGGGCGAGAGCGTCCGACGCCCGAACACGAACCGATACACGAGCGCGATGAGTGAGGTTGTTGCAAGGGCTGAGTGTGAGGTGTACTGCGACTCGCCTTGGGACCCAGCGGAGACGAAGGCATCCAGGAGGGTGACGACGACGGTCCGGAGGGTCCACCTCGTCCGGCGCGGCATCCCGACGGGACGAGTCCCGGCGGGCCGCAGTTGTAGCGGACGACGGGGCTGCTGCCAGGGCGAGGGAAGGTCCCCCGCCGTCGGTTGCGTCCCCCTCGCCGCTCCGCGTCGCCCCCCCGCCAGCCTCCGCCGTCGAACGCAGCGCAAGCTCGGGCGAGCTCGTCCTCTTCGGGTGCACCCGGCACCGCCGCGGGCGCGGTGCACGCCACCAATCCCGTACGCCGTTTCAAGTGCAGATGAGCTTGGATACACTGGGCGATCTTGAGGGACGACAGATCGTCCTCTTCTGAAGCTGGCAGGGAGACGTTCATCTCCTGCGCCAATGCCAGCAAGCGCTCCAGCACCAGCAAATCCACCCCCGCCTGTTCCATCTTGGGGTACGCCGCCTGAGCCAGCGATAACAGGGCGCTACGGAAGGCGAGGGGCGTCTCGGCCTCCCCCCCGCCTCCACGCGGCAAACTTGTGCCGAACATTTCATGGCGGGTCGTAGACCGCCGCCATCTGGGCGAAGGCCTGCGGCAGCGTGGCCCTCTTCCCCCAGCGGGATGGCGTAAAACGCCGCCAGAGCGTCGTCGTCCAGGACGGTGGGAAGCGCACGCAGCGCCCCCCGCCTCCGTCCAGCCCGTCAGCTCGCAGTTTGCAGAGCAACGCTGCTTAAATGCCTCCCAATCCCCCCCCTGCAGCCGTGAACTTCTTGAGGAAAGGGAGTCGGCGTTGCAGCGATGGGATCTCCCGCGGTGTTTTTGGTGGGAGATCGGAAGTGGCGGGCTCCGCTTACCGCGCATTTTCCGAAATGGCCGCTGCGCGCGCGGGCTGCGCAGCTGGAGATTCCCGCGCGCGGGAAGCAGCCGCGGCGAGGTCGACGCCTCGCGGCTAAGGCGCTCCGCTCTCCCCTCCATCGAGCTCGGCGACCAGCACGGCCGCGGCGCTCAGCAGCTCGGCGAGGCGTGCGCGGAGCGAACGGCGGTCCCTCCCCGATGGTGGCGAAGCGGCGGCGCGTTGGTCTTCCCGCTGCTCAGCCGGCGACGCCGGCTCACTCTCGTCATCTGGGGTGTCGGGGGAATAACTTTTGTACAACCGCTTGTTCTTACTCAGGCAAACGTAATTCTGTTCACTCGATCGCGTTCTATCCAATTCGCATCCGCGTTATAAAAAAATGTGTTACTTTAAACATTTATCGCGTTATATCCAATTCACGTTATAAAAACAACATGCGACGTTACAGGAGAACGGACTGTGCATATTTTCCGAGTCTAATTTGTGTGTGTACACGTGTGTGTGTGCTTGCGGAGCCCCACTGTGTTTTCAGGAAAGGGCGGCCCTGCACAGATGCCATATTTTATTTCCGTTTGCTACAGCAGAAGTGTAGGAAATTTTAACAGGACCTACATCTCTGCTTTATTGACCTGGTCAAGGCCTATGATACTATCAGTAGGCCTGGGCTTTGGCTTGTTATTCGTGCTTTTGGAGTCTCTGACTCTCTTCTCACGATCATTAAGGACCTTCATAGTGGGCAGGCCCGGGTAAAACTACGTGGCCGGGAGTCGGAGCCATTCCCTGTTCAGTTTGAGGTGCGATAGGGATGTCCTCGTGAAGCCTTTGATGGCTGTACCGGAGGAATTTCCATCTGGTACAGATACAATGGGAGACTGATCAATGCCCAGGTGCGGTCAAGGGATGGCTCCCTATTGCTCAAACATGTTATGTGTACTGATGATCTGGTGATTGCTGCTCACTCAAAGGAAGAGTTGGAGGCGCTGCTGCCAAACCTGGAGCGTGCCACTAAGAGGTGGGGCCTTACCATCAGCCCCACCAAAACTAAGCACCTGCCTGGGTTTTTTGTACCATCAGGCACTCCACCCCCACAACTCCTAATTGGTGATGGGGGTAGTTGTGGAGAGAGTAAAGAGTTTTCCATACCTGGGCAGTATGCTCATGACCAGCTCCGGTTTGACAGCAGAGGTCTCACTCCGAATCAGTCGAGCAGCATTAGATTTTCATTGGCTGCATAACGCTGTGTGGAAACTACCTGGTCTGTTGCTCCACACAAAGCTTCAGGTCTTCTCGGCCACAGTCATGCGCTCCCTTCTCTATGGTTGGGAATCGTGGGCCCCCCTCATGGAACATCTTTGCCGGTTAGAAACATTTAGGCTGGCCTGCCTACGATTCATCCTGGGTTTAACCAGGCTAGATTGTGTGATAAGCTCACAAATCGTTGAAACATCTGCATACAGTCCCATCAGTGAGCTCCTCCGGCATGCAAGTCTACGTCGGCTGGGTCATGTAGCCCGCATGCCCAGCTACCGCATGCCTAAACAGCTTTTGTTCGGCTGGATAGAGGGCGCTAAATGGGCGAGGCACGGGCTAGAGAATAGATGGAGTGATGTGATACAGGAGGATATGGAGCTGAGTGGACTTGCCAATGACCGGTACCAGCGGTGTCAAGATCGGCCTCTGTGGAGGAGGCTCGTGAAGGACGCTACTGGGCAGTTGGAGGTAGTCGCCCTCCAACAACAACGGAGGGCAACGAGCGTCTCAGACCCATGGCACCTGGGTCTGTCCTGTGACCTCCTGCCAGCAGGCGTTCGACACGTCACGTGTCTTTAACGTGCACATAGCCTGGCGCAAGCGTCGTGGTGACGTCACTGCCACTTATTGGAGAATTGCGGTTGTTGGTTGGTGTGTGCTAGTAGTTGGCGTGCTGCGCGATGACCACCTGAGTTGGGTTCCCCCTTGTGGCCAACACCAGTGGTTAATGCCTAAACCGGTACCGGGGCCCGCCTCTAGGTTGACCCCGCCTTGAATAATAAGTATCTGGTGCAGTGTGCAAACATCAGCACTCGGGGGAGGCAAAGGTGGCCGGGCGTGGAGCTGTCCACACCACCCCTTCGGTGTACCATACCGGCTGGCCTTCATAGGTGCTCTGTACGGAGGGGATCTTTGTGTGCGTGTGTGCAAACAGACATTTTCCACGTAATAATATGTGCCAGTCAAGCAAGTTTGCAAAATGTAAAATGAGCCTGAGACGCGTGTAGGGTTTCCGTCGTACGGAGCTTAACGCAGTTGCCTTGTGAATTGTCCCGTTTCAGATGACCGCATGGAGCCCTCCGAGGAGCACGCTGAGGCGGAGGAGTGCAGTGGTGAGCGAGCCTCCTCGTGGCATGCCCCTCCATCTCACACTCCATCTCACACTCCATCTCACACTCCATCTCTCACAGACGTCTCCCCGTCCCGCACACAGCAGCACTTCCGATTAGCAAAGAAGTTCAACACATGCATACACCAGCAACGTCATCCTACTGTTGTGAAAACTTGGCAGGACCCTGCTATAAAACAGTCTTCCCCCGAGTAACTAAGCGCAGTAATACTCAGCGTTTGTTTTTAAGATGTTTCTGTGCCTCTAAAGTCTGCGTCGTCATTCCCGCGCTCCCTTGCTCACCTCCCCGCTGCCCAGACACGTCTCAATTGGCGGACATCCCGCTCGCCGTGAACCCTGCCGCAGGAGCGACGCTCGAGTCGGCCCCCAACCCCTTCAGCTACGAGAGCAACGCTCCGGAGCAGCCCGCCGGTTCTCCCGCGGCGACGGCCGCCCCCCCGTTCGTCGGCCTGCACCAGCAGCAGCAGCAACAGCAGCAGCCCTGCGACCTCGCGTCGGCGGCGGCGGCAGCGCTCGCCGCGTCGCCCTCCCCCCACTCGTCTGCCTGCTCCTCCCCGTCCGTCTCCTCCGCCATCGTGGACACGTTCGCGCAACCCGCCCACGACGGCCCGTCCGGCGCCCACGCCACCGCCGTTGCCGCGGCGACGGCGGCCGCGGCCGGCAGACTCAGACGCCACTACCAGACGCGCAAGCTGGACTCGTACATGTCGGATTTCAGGCGCATGCACGAGGAGAGCATCAGGGCCTTCAGGGAGTCGGAGGCGAAGGACGCGGCGTGCATGCAGTCGGTGATGAGGCTGATGGAGAGGGCCGTCGCGTGCTTGGAGTCGCCCGCTGCCAGGCCGACGCCGCATCCTCCTCCACCCTCGAATAACGAACCCTTCGGTTCCTCTCCGGGAGAGTAGCCTTCCTGGCGCAAAGAATGCCTACCTCAGCTACCGGAGCACACCGGAGCACACCAGAGCACACCGGAGCACACCGGAGCACACCGGAGCAACGTTCGCCAGCACCCCGCTCGCTCTGCGCTCTCGAGGCGGTTGCCCGCCCCCCCACCGTGCGGCCGACGGTGTCCACGGCTCCGCCGGCCCTCGACGTCTGCAGTGGGGAGGGGGGGGGCGGGCGGCTTCAGCCCTGTGTGCGCGCTTTAATTGTTTCTATTTTGTTCGAGTGTGCAAGGTGGCAAGGCGTTGCGAGCGTTGAGTTTGGTTGTGGCGATGGTGGTGACGGTGTGCGGGCGTGTTTGTGAATGAAGAAAGTCGCTGTTGTGTGTGCCGTGGCGTGGCCATGAATGACCTTCCGGGAAACCAGCACACAGCCAAACCTCATCTGTGCTCTTCTGTTGTTCGGGAAAAGAACGACCAGGAATGCCGCATTTTGGTGACGACGCCTGATTGGTCAGCGCACTGCCGCCGCAAGCCCTGGGAACCAAGGTCGATTCCCGCTCACAACCAATAACCAGCGGGGGGTAACTCTTGGACCGGTTCCTCAGCCCTCCCGCTAGGTCAGCTCAACCTTAAATGAGTAGCCGGCGCGATGTTTAAACAACATCAGCACTGGGGAAACAACGGTGGTGGCTGGCCGTGGTGTTGGCCACAAACCCCACCCCATGGTGTCTCACAGTGCCGGCCTTCATAGGTGCTGCTCGCTTAACAGCACTTTCCCCGACTGTTTAAACGCTATACAGGGTGGTGGGGGGGAGCTTTGTCCTTCGTATCGAGGTTTTGATTTGTTTGTAAATTGTAACAATTTACACAACGGGCATTTACAAATTCAAGGATCTCACCACCACCGCAGTAGAAGCAGCGGTTTATTGGGATAACGACCGTGACTGATGCTGTTGGTGCTGCTGCTACTGCATCAAGACACTCGGGATGTCATTAAGACTTTTGAAAAGTGAACCCCATGTTTAAAAAAAATAAACACTTCCCATGCGTTTTGGCGTATCCCAGGTTTGTCGTTTAGCTTTGGCAGTTTGGTGACCCCCCCCCCCCGCGACAGCTGGAGAGAAATCCACGCACCAAGGGGAAGACATGCAAACTGCAAACTCTGATCGAACCCACGACCTCCTGGATACCAGCGGAGGTAGTTGACATTTGGCGCCCCATTCATCGGCCATCATGGCAGTTGTCTGCGGGTGAAATGTGATGCGCCCATCATATTCATCATGGTTAAATTTTTTTAGCAAATCAGGAAAATGTACCATTTTTTTTATCCCGAGTATAAATATGTATATTCTTTAACTTAAAGGCAACGGGTGGCATAAAGTGTTTCCTTCTTTGTGAGGTCTGACAATGGGGCACTGCCCATGCCTCAATGGTAGACCCCGCCCCCTCCCGTGCAGTCCACGGGGGCCCCCCGTAAAGTCCGCGGGGGCCCCCCGGACGGTCCGCAACGGCCCTCTGGGCAGTCTGCAAGGAGGCCTCCAGGCAGTCCACGATGGCCCCCCGGGTGGTCTGCAAGAGGGCCTCCAGGCGGTCCGCGACAGCCCCCCAAGGCGGTCGTCACGGAGCACCCGGTGGGCCCCCGCGGACTGCCTGGAGGCCCCGGACGGACACTTGACACTGGCAACCCGGCGTCAGAGGCGGAGAGGCTCCGGGGTGGCGGGACTCCTCGGGCGTCTGAACGCAACGATGCGCGGTGTGAAAGAAGTTCAAGGTATGTGGGGGTGTAGAGGCGCAGCCCCTGCAAATCGCCCGCTGACGCCACTGCGGGCGAGGAAGGGGCCTTCACTCGAGATGAGCTCTCGACGAGTGAGCTCCTCTCGACTCTCGGTGTTCGGGCCGAGTCTTTCGCTGCTGGCTAGACGTTTTGGAAAGGAGTCTATGCTCACGGCAGAGGGGGAAGCAGCGCCACCACCACCACCCTGCTGCTGCTGCTGGGCACAGGCGTGGGTTGAAGTGGCTCCACCCTCCTAACCCCCCTAATCCCAACACCCTAACACCCCTACCCCTAACACCCTGACATCAACACCCCTACCCCTAACACCCTGACCTCAGCATCCCTAACCCCAACACCCTTTCTCATATCACCCCTATCCCTAACGCCCCTGACCCCAACACCCATTCCCCAATACCCCTAATCCTAACACCCTTACCCCTTAACACCAATACAGGAAGTACTCCACTTACGAACGCCCGTACTTACGAACCAGCTTCCGTGAAATATAAAGCAATCTAGCGGGAAGTACCCGGCATTTCCCGGACGAAAAATATATTTCAAAACTTCTCTCAAAAACCTAAAATATACATACACCGATTGTAAGCTATTGTGGAAGCCTGGTGGGACATTTGTCCATTTCTCCACCAACAAAATTATAAGAGGCTTGCAGAAGTCCAAAAAGTAATAGAAAGTGGGGGGTAAATAGTTGATGTAAAAGGTTTATGAAAATTGTCGACCCCCCCTAAAAAATATATATTTATCCCCGCATAGGTATATATACCTACACACCCTACATACAACAAAGTACTCATTGAGTCTTTCAGTTAAGTCACGTAGATAGAAAAATAATACAAAATCACGACATTGATCGCAACAAGCAATCGTCCTCAGGTGAAAAAATGACTTTTATAACTTTTTTCACCTAAGGACGATTGCTTGTGTTGGGATCGAAACGTGATTTATTTTAATTTTTCTATCTACGTGACTTGACCAAAAGACCCAAAGAGTATGAATTCCTGCAGTCACGAAAGCTTTAAGTCAAGATTTAACAGAGTAAGTAGTATCTATTGCCTCTGTAGTTGTATCTACTGACTGTACAGTAGTATCTACTGAGCCAGGAGTAGCTACTGACTGTATAGTAGTATTTACTGACTGTAGTAACTACTGACCGAAGTAGTATCTACTGGCCCTACAGTACTATCTACTGACTGTAGGAGTAACTACTGGCTCTACAGTAGGATATATGGACTCTATGGTAGTAACTAACTGTATAGTAGTATCTGCTCACTACACTACTATAGTAGTTGGACTCACTACACCACTATAGTAGTGTAGTGAGTCCAACTGAGTCGCAGACGTTCCTTTTAGAGGCAACACTTTTATTGTAACACTGTAACACACAGGGGTAACTACCCCTTTACCAGATAGAGCTTAGGGTAGGGACCCTCCAGCTGACTACACTATACAGAGGAGTTACTGCTACGAAGGGTCGGACCCTCACTCGGGTCTCTGACCACGTGGTTGCCTCGTAGGACGAAGAGCTTCAGTTTGAGACGCAGAACTTCCCGCTTCTAGATGTTGAGCTTCCAGCCTGGAGAATGCAGCAACCCCGGTCCCTGTCAGGGACCCGCCTTATATCCCACTATAGTCAGGGCCGCTCCGCCCTCGGCCCCGCCCGCCATCTCGAGCATTCTCGTTCCCTCTCGATCCTTCTCAAGAGCTCTCCCCGGAAACGTGATCACCCACGAGCCCCTCCACCTGGTGCCCCTTGTGTGGACACTCCGGATCACGTGTCTATGGGGCCAACCAGAGTGCCATGGCCCTGGGCAATCCTGGCCCCTGGGCTGACGCTCACTCACTTCCCTTGTGGGAGCCCCCACCACACGCTGTGCGTGGTGCCTGCACTCTCCTAGTACTCACCAAGCCCCGCTAGGGCTGGTATTACACACAGCCACACACACGGTGCTGTCTACGATGTAGGAACATCGAACGGCGCGGCCCTTCCGAGCCGGCACCAGACAGTGACATCCCCAATGTCAGTACAGTAGTATCCACCGACGATAGTAATAACTACTAACTATTGCAGTATCTACTGACTCTATAGTAGTATCTTCTGACTCTATAGCAGGAGCTACCGTAACGGTATATACTCACTGTTTTAGTATCTACGAACTCGATAGTAGTAGCCACCAACTCGATAGCAGTATCTACTATCCCTACAGCAGTGCATACCGACTGTGGTGGTTCCTGCATTGACTACAGCAGCGCATACCGACTGTGGTGGTACCTGCTATCACTACAGCAGTGCATACCGACTGTGGTGGTACCTGCTTTCACTACAGCAGTGCATACCGACTGTGGTGGTACCTACTATCACTACAGCAGTGCATACCGACTGTGGTGGTACCTACTATCACTACAGCAGTACATACGGACTGTGGTGGTACCTACTATCACTACAGCAGTGCATACCGACTGTGGTGGTATCCTATGACTACAGCAGTGCATACCGACTGTTGTGGTACCTGCTATCACTACAGCAGTGCATACCAATTGTGGTACCAGCTTTCACTACGGAAGTGCATACTGACTGTGGTGGTACCTGCTTTCACTACAGCAGTGCATACCGACTGTGGTGGTAACGTGCTATGACTACAGCAGTGCATACCGACTGTGGTGGTACATGCTTTCACTATAGCAGTGCATACCGACTGTGGTGGCACCTGCTTTCACTACGGCAATGCATACCGACTGTGGTGGTACATGCTTTCACTATAGCAGTGCATACCGACTGTGGTGGCACCTGCTTTCACTACGGCAGTGCATACCGACTGTGGTGGTATCTGCTTTACAGCATTGCATACCGACTGGTGGTACATATCACTAAAGCAGTGCATACCGACTGTGGTGGTACCTGCTATCACTACAGCAGTGCATACCGTCTGTGGTTGTGACTTGCCATCATTCATAGCATGCACCACCACACTGCTGTAGTGAAGCAGCTACCACCACAGTCGGTGTGCACTGCCGTAGTGAAAGCAGGTACCACCACAGTCGTTATACACTCTTAGTGAAAGCAGGTACCACCACAGTCGGTATGCACTGCTATAGTGAAATCAGGTACCACCACAGTCTGTATCCACTGCTGAAGTTAAAGCAGGTACCACCACAAACAGTATGCACTGTTGTATTGATAGCAGGCACAACCATAGTCGGTATGTACTGTTGTAGTGATAGCAGGTACCACGACAGTTGGTATGCACTGCTATAGTGATGACAGGTCACTGCCACAGATTGTATGCACTGCTGTAGTGATAGCTGGTACCACCACAGTTGGTTTGCACTTCCGTCGTGAAAACAGGTACCACCACAGTGGGTATGCACTGCTGTAGTGATAGCAGGTACCACCAGAGTCGGTATGCACTGCTGTAGTGATAGCTGGTACCACCACAGTCGGTATGCACTGCTGTAGTGATAGCAGGAACCACCACAGTCGGTATGCACTGCTATAGTGATAGCCGGTACCACCACAGTTGGTATGCACTGCTGTAGTGATAGCCGGTACCACCAGTTGTATGCACTGCTGTAGTGATAGCTGTTCCCGCCACAGTCGGTATGCACTGCTGTAGTGATAGCAGGTACCACCACAGTCAGTATGCACTGCTGTAGTGATAGCTGGTGCCACCACAGTTGGTATGCACTGCTGTAGTGATTGCAGGTACCACCACTGTCAGTATGCACTGCTGTAGTGATAGCAGGTACCACCACTGTCAGTATGCACTGCTGTAGTGATAGCAGGTACCACCACTGTCAGTATGCACTGCTGTAGTGATAGCAGGTACCACCACAGTCTGTATGCAGTGCTGTAGTCATAGCACGTAACCACCACAGTCGGTATGCACTGTTGTAGTGATAGCAGGTACCACCACAGTGGGTATGCACTGCTGTAGTTAAATCAGATCCCATTAGCGTCGGAATGCACTCCTGTATTGATAGCAGGTGCCACAACAGTCGGTATGCACTGGCTGGAGAGATAGCAGGTACCACCACAGTCGGTATGGACTGCTGTAGTGAAAGCAGCCACCACCACAGTTATTATCCACTGCTGTAGTGAAAGCAGGTACCACCTCAGCCGGTATGAACTTCTGTAGTGATAGCAGGTACATCCACAGTCGGAATGCACTGCTGTAGTAATGACAGGTCACCACCACAGTCGTTATGCACTGCTGTAGTGATAGCAGGTACCACCACAGTTGGTATGCACTGCTGTAATGATGGCAGGTCACCACCACAGATGGTATGCACTGGTGTAGTAAAAGCAGGTACCACCGCAGTCTGTATGCATTGCTGTAGCCATAGCAGGATACCACCACAGTCGGTATGCACTGCTGTAGTGAAAGCAGCCACCACTACAGTCAGTATGCACTGCTTTAGTGAAAGCAGGTACCACCATAGTCGGTATGCACTGCTGTAGAGATTGCAGGTACCACCGCAGTGGGTATGCACTGATGTAGTGAAAGCAGGTACAACCACAGTTGGTATGCACTGCTGTAGTGATGACAGGTCACCACCACAGATGGTTTGCACTGCTGTAGTGATAGCAGGTACCACCACAGTCAGTATGCAATGCTGTAGTGAAAGCAGGTACCACCACAGTCGGTATGCACTGCTGGAGTGAAAGCAGGCACCACAAAAGTCAGTATACGCTGCTATAGTGATAGCAGGTACCACCACAGTCGGTATGCACTGCTGTAGAAATGGCAGGTCACCACCACAGATGGTATGCACTGCTGTAGTAATAGCAGATACCACCACAGTCTGTATGCACTGCTGTAGTGATGGCAGGTCACCACCACAGACGGTATGCACTGCTGTAATGATAGCAGGTACCACCACAGTCAGTATGCTCTGCTGTAGTCATGGCAGGTACAGTGAGGGAAAAAAAGCATTTGATCCCCTGCTGATTTTGTACGTTTGCCCACTGACAAAGAAATGATCAGTCTATTATTTTAATGGTAGGTTTATTTGAACAGTGAGAGACAGAATAACAACAACACAATCCAGAAAAACGCATGTCAAAAATGTTATAAAGTGATTTGCATTTTAATGAGGGAAATAAGTATTTTACCCCCTCTCAATCAGAAAGATTTCTGGCTTCCAGATGTATTTCATACTGGTGTAGTGTTCAATTCACTCGGACAACTTCTGTCTTTCTTCGAACACCGCTTTATTTACAACTCTCAGCATGTCCTCCACATTCCACAGCATCCTGGTCACCACGGCTCGCTCGCCGTGCTTCACTCGATTCGCTCGCCACCTTTGTCTCTCCACTCCCCACGGTTACTTCGCTTGCTCCGCACTCAGCGACTCCGCACTCAGCGTCTTCGCACACAGCGACTTCGCACAGTGTTTTCGCACACAGCGACTTCACACACAGCGTCTTTGCACTCAGCAACTCCACCCTTCAACTCTTAACTCCAACTCTGTCTTCCAAACTCTGTCTCTCAAACTCTGTCTTCCAACTCTCAACACTTCAACTCCCCCCCCTGTTGACTCAAAGCTCTCCGCTCTTCAACCTCTCTCCAAGCTCTCCACCATTCAACCCATCTCCAAGCTCAACTCCCTTCAACTCAACTCCACTCTGTTGACTCCGACTCCCGCTCGTATACCCGCTCTCATTACACCCCCAAT